GTCACGTCTCAAACAATCGTCCCACACAAGAATCACATGGTCGTGATTTAACGCTCTGCCTTGTGTGTTATTTTTCTCTCATCTTTTTATTGTTAGGTAACATACACATTGTTCTGGTTCTGATTTTGTGATTTTTTGATTTTGGTGTAATCCCTCTCCCTCTCAGCAGGTCGATGCAGAGAGGCGGGGCCGATCGACTCGGGAGCGAGGCTCGTGAGGCACACCTGCCTTCCATCTGCAATTAAGTCCCTATTTAAACCCCTCACGCTCTGGCTCCTGTGCGGAACTATTGCATTCCCGACCAAGCGCCTCGTGAACTCGCTTCCCAGCAGATCTTCCCCACTCTCGTGTCTCTTAGTGTTTTTCTATCGCAGCGTTTTGCTAACAGCTTCCAGTGAGTTTTTTCAGTCCTGGCTCTTTATTTTCTAGCAATTTTGTAAGTCTAGTTTTCCCCCCCTTGTGTTGATTTTCTGTTGATACTTTTGCCGTCGTGGTTTTTTGTGTTTTGTAGTTTATTTGGTTTTCCCCGTTTGTTCCCCGCAAGGGTGTTTTTTGTTGTGTGTTTTGTTAAATAAATTCTTCTTTTTGAACGTCTCTGCATCTGGGTCCTGGTTCCGAGTTACCGCCGTAACACACATAACAGTATGATATAATATAAATAAGTAAAATAAAATTATAGTAAGTAACATCTGCAGACTATTGGCAGATACTACAATTTACAGATGTCCCCTAAACACCTCACATGCAGACTCTAGGTAGACGTTTCAATTTAAAAATGTTTCCTGAATGCCAGAACGCCTCACGGGCAGATTATAGGTAGACATTAAATTATACAGATGTTCCATGAACGCCTCACATGCAGAACGAAAGAACGTCCCATCATCTTAAACCTATTAGTGTTTTTGTATTCAGGTAACAGATGTTGTAAATTTACATGTGACGCTGTTATCCAAAGCAACTTACAAGTGAAGGACATCACTGAAGCTTCGCTGCAGGAGCAACATTTAGTGTAAGTACAACATCAATTTAATAAGTGAAGGAGACCAGGTAAAGAAGTGTACAGTAACTTCATAGTAAGAGCTTAAACCTGTCAAATATTGTCTTTCATTTCTGTATTGTTCCTGATGAAATCAGATCATAAAATACTGTTTTAATGACCCGTGTAAGTCGTTAATTAGGTTGAATTTGAGAATGTCTCTTGTTTGAAAACAGAGCTGGACTCAGGGAAGAGGTCAGAGAGTCACAACAGCCGTGAAATTAGACCAGCAAAAACTAACAAGCTAAATAAATTCAATTTGCACAGACACATGAAAATTAGTGTATCTGCCGCCTGAGTTTCCTCGAACTGTGATGGTGATGTTGTTGAGCGATGAAGACAGGAAGATGCATTTCACTGTGAGAGTCCTGAACTGATGCAGCGAAACATCGTCTGTGGGGACGAGCCGAAGAACAAACAACAGGAGACCCAAGATCCTGATCCACCACAGTCTAACAAAAAACTCATCAAACAGAGTCCAGGAGTTTGAGTGATACACATGCAGAACTAAAGTTTCTTTAATGTACTAAAATATATAAGTTTATATAAGTTTAATACATTTAATGTAAGTTTTGGGTTCAAAGTGAAAGAACCTGTGAGTGAAAAAACAAGTTTCATTCACATGACTGAGGTTATCTCAGTTGTAGTCTGTAGTCTTCACTGCTGTCAAATTTCCTGACAGTGACTTTGAAAACACACAACATCTGTTTCCACATGACCCAGTGCTGAACATAATAACTCCTACATGGTGTAAAATTCAATTTCACATCGGAGATTATCATCTCTTCATTCATGTGTATGACCAAAAAGGAGAAACGTTTGCGAGCGTCTTCTGAGAATAAAACTGTTGGACGGGTGAAAAAAGAAAAATCATCTCCAGTACAATTATTCAACCCTATGTTTGATGTACAATCAATAATTCTAACAGCTCGTACAGGTATGATTTGTCGTAGTATTTGTTGGAGCCAAATGTTTCATGTCAAGGCACCTTATTGTCAGTTTCTTTTGGAATACTTTATTTTGCAGTTTTCAATTATGCAAGAACAATACAACTCATTCCCACTAAAAACTCAATATGTAATGAGGCAAATAATAACAACAGTAACTAAAAGACATGATAAATAAATAATGGAGACAAACAAATTAATAAAATAAATAAGTACACAAACAAAAATAATAATTATAACTTAAAAGAAGAAAAAAGATACATATGTTACATTGTGACACATTGTCACCAAGATCTCTCAACCATTGTACCTGGGCATTAGTGTTGGTTTACAGTCAAACCAGTTCAAGGTTTACAATGAGTCCACAGCTGGTATTGGTAATGTCTCTATATATTCAATGAAAGGCTGCCAGACCTTTAAAAAGTCATCATATTTGTTCCTCATGACATAAGTGATCTTCTCTAACGGAAAACAAATCATCATGTCTGAAATCCATTTTGATATAGAGAGGATGGAATCCGACTTCCAGGTTAACACAATACATTTTCTGGAAACAGCGAGAGCTACGTCAATAAATTTCCTTGAACTCTGACTCAGTTTCATGTTTGTTAAATTTCCTAGAAGACATAGCCCTGGATCTAATGGAATTGGTATGTGCATGATTTGCGTCAGTGTGTCACATATATCATGCCAGAATGAAGTAACCTTCGTACATTGCCATGAGCAATGTAACACGGTTCCTACAGCAGTACCACATCTAAAACAGAGATCTGAAATTTTAGGTTTGTACCGGTGTAATTTTTGGGGGGTTAGATAAAGTTGATGAAGAAAGTTGTAGTTGACAAGTTTAAATCTGGCATTCACGGTAGCAAATAAGCTTTTCTGACATAAGTTAGACCATATGTCCTCATGTATTATAATACCCAGGTCAGCTTCCCACCTCTCTCTTGATCGGTGTATGTTTTGTTTTGGACATTTCTCCAGCATGGTTACATACATCCTGCTAATGAATTGCTTTGGACCCTCATTATTGTAAAATATTTCCTCCACTTTTGTCAGGTTAGGCAGTATCATTTGTTCCCCCAAACTTTTTTTCAGGAATGTTCTCAGTTGTAAATAACAGAAAAAGTGTTTGTTGGATTAGTCATATTTTGCTTTTAGCTGTTCAAAGGACATTAAGGTTTTATTATTGTAGCATTGTTCAAAGTATACTATCCCCTTGTCGTGCCATAGCTTAAAGATTTTGTTATCAGAGAACATTGGTATGAGTTTGTTTTCCCACAGAGGTGTTTTGGGCGACAAGTCAATCTTCACTCCAATAATTTTATGAACCTCAAACCACGATCTAACCAAGTGAATGGTAAGTGGGTTTTTGGTTTTACAAATGATACTTTTTGGGTTCCATTTATAAACAAAGTGGCTTCTCATCCCTTCTTCAAAGTCATGTAGTTCAATTTGTGCCCAAGAGGGAGCAGAGTCCCATTCAAACAAGGGTAGGAGAAATCTCATCTGTGCTGCCCAATAGTAAAATTTGAAATTGGGGAGTCGGAGGCCACCCATCCCATAATCCCATGATAATTTCTCCAAACTCACCCTAGGTACTTTATGGTTCCAGATAAATGTACTTATGCTTTTATTAAGTGTTTTAAAGATGCTATTGGGGAGAGGGATAGGGAGCGACTGAAATAAGTACATTATCTTGGGCAAAACGTTCATCTTTATGCAGTTTCTAAAATACTCAAATCACCAACAATCATCACATTTTTTTCCGGACATTTTGACTCATAATTTGAAGAGATTCCCGTGAGAGGTTCTCGAGATATTGCATTCACAAGGCTCAAATAACAAACAATAAACCTCCCGCTCTGACTGTCACCGGCGCGGAGGCATACGAATATTTATCTGTAACTAAAGTAGCGTGTCCTGCACCATGTTATAATAAATGCTGGCTGTGATTCATACCACACTGACCAATGGTGTAACTTCATCACTCAGTCAGTCAGCAACACACATTTGCGTTGATGGGGCTGGTCCTGCTGTTGTGATCCAGCCAAAAAACAGAAACTGTGGTTCATGATGGTTTTGTTGACTGAGGAGAATAATCAGCAGGAAGGAAAACTACTACTTATCTAACCCTAACTTTAACTTAACCCTAACCTTACCTGGAGAACCTTGAGTATTAGAGCTCAGCCTTCAACTCAACACTGCCCCCCCCCCCCAACTAACAACAACAAAAATCTGATTGGATAACTCTGTTTCCATGGTTTAGGACAGTAACTATAGAAATGACACTAAAATTAGAATTAGAAGAGAAAACCTATTACATGAAAGAGATTAAATAAAACATTTATGTTGCTGATTTGTTTTGTCCTATAGAGTTCTGAGGTCCCTCACCATAAAATCTAATGATTTATGTTATGAGGACGCGCTTTCTGTCTCCATAAGGAAGAGATTATCTACTATTTTATTCACATGTTGCACTGTTTTTATGAACCTAAGACTTTGGTAAACCAAAGTGAAGCACAAAAACAATTCATCCACATCAGTAAAGATTTGTTTTCACAAGAGATTTGAAGAATTTCAAAAAAACTGGGCTTAGATTTTTCAGCATTTGGGACGGTCAGAAAGGGGTGTCATAATAGAAAGCGCTCAGATTGCTCTGAAAACTGTGATATAATACACTTGGGTATTAGGTTAAGCCAGTACCTTAAGAAATAACGTAGAACTCAAGAAAATAACTTTTGACCTCAGAGGGTTTAACCTAAACCTGATTCTAACCTGAGCCCTAAAACCAAGTATGAAAGCCCTTTGAAGTTGTGAGGACTGGCCAAAATGTCCTCACAACATTAGTTAAGACATGTACACACACACAGCCAAGCCCCTCCCTCTCAGTGTGTTTTCTCCCACTGTGTAAGCAGCTGCAGACAGAATGAGACAAACATCGAGCAGGGACAGTTCAGTCGTGTCACACTTCGTAACTCAGGACTCACAGATCTCAGCTCTTCCATCTCATCACCATGCGGTTCGAGGAGATCCTGGACGAAGTTGGTGGCTTCTCCAAGTTCCAGTTCCTCCTGCTGTTCATCCTGTGCCTCCCCCGCGCCATCCTGCCCCTCCACTTCCTCCTGCACAACTTCGTGTCTGCCACCCCTCCTCACCGCTGCGCCCTCAGGATCCCGGAGGACAGGGCCGCCAACCCCGAGGTGCTGGCCCTCAGGATCCCCCGTCAGGATGACGGCTCCCTCAGCTCCTGCCGACTCTATGACCCGCTGCTGACCTTTGACCTCAGCCCGGGAAACAGGACAGCACCTTGTCCTCATGGCTGGATATACGACCGATCACAGTTCAGCTCCACAACAGCTACCGAGGTAAAGAGAGGCAGAAACAAAGACGAAGCTCAAGTTAATGTATAAATATTTAAATTTATTCAAGAATTTTTATAAGTTTCGTTTTTTATTAAAAGCCCAAACAGGTGAATGAAACCATGTGAAAGAAAAGGTTGAATTTCTGTTAACTGTTTGTACTGAGATAAAACAACACAAACTTAAATAAATCTGTTTCCTTTATTTTCATTCTCACTGAATTAGATTTTTATTTCTCTCAGTCTAGGAACATTTTTATCAGTTGTCAATTGGTTGTTACAGTCTGTGGTTTTAGTACAAAGATTTGTTGTTTCACACTGTGTCTCCTAAAAATCACGTTTAGATATGACAAATGTGTTTTTTCCAATTACATAGTGGTGACACATGTCATCTCTGTCCAGTGGTTCTCAAACCTTTTCACATCAAAGACCTGAAACTGTTTAAACCAATAACCAAAATAGTCATAATATACATTCTCTCATTGTGTTACTTATCTATGGTATTACAGCGGAAATAAATGATTCCCCTTTTTGCCGGGGACCCCCAGGAACCCCCTCAAGGACTCCTGGGAGTTCCTGAACCCCACTTTGAGACCNAGTGGTTCTCAAACCTTTTCACATCAAAGACCTGAAACTGTTTTTAGATGTTTTTATTACAGAAAGTGTTTAAACCAATAACCAAAATAATCATAATTTACATTCTCTCATTGTATTACTTATTTATGGTATTACTGGTTTAGCTCTTTGGTTAAGGTTGGTGGTTCTGGTTTAATGTATGTAAAACAGGTTTTGAACTTTTTCTGTATTAAACCAGACCAGGATCTTTCTCTAACCTGGACCAAGCTAAAGCTTCTTGAGCTGCAGTCCCTCTAATGTCCACCAGGTGCTGCTCCAGGAAAACACCCAACTTCTCTCTTCAAATACAGAGCCGATGAAGTTTTTAGAATTTCAGCTCTCAGGAGATAACGTCCCGTCCTCTGAGTGCAGAAGGAGAAAATAACTGTCATTTAATCAAATATTAAAGTTCAGAGAAAGGTGTGATTCAGAAACCTGTGGATGACATCACAGGCAGGTGTGATACAGTCTGTGGTCTAACCTGTGTGTGTCTCTACAGTGGGATCTGGTGTGTGACGACAAACAGCTGAATCAAGCTCTTGCCACATACTTCTTCCTCGGGGTCACGTTTGGAGCCATCCTGTTCGGACAGCTCTCCGACAAGTGAGTTCTTCTGATCCCGCTGTGACCCTGAACAGGGACGAGCAGAGGTCATTATTACTGATATCACCTCCTTATTAAGGACTAAAGTTATGGAGAACTGAGGGCGTGGCCTTTTTGAGTGACAGGTGGGTGAGTGTATGCTTGCCACAAACCGCCACACACTGAAGTCTCAGGTCCACACACCCTTTTTGGATTAGCAAGGAGTTAGGGGCGGAGTCAGATACTGCCAAGATGGCAACAGTGAGGCAGCTCATTCTGAGCTTCAGAAACCTGTGGTTGACGTCACAGTGGCAACGTCCATCTTTATTTACAGTCTGTGGTTGACACTATTGATGGTTGGTATTTGTGTTTCTGTGTTCTTTTCCTCATGGCTCGTTGGTCTAGGGGTATGATTCTCGCTTTGGGTGCGAGAGGTCCCGGGTTCAAATCCCGGACGAGCCCTTGGCAAACATAAGGTCTTGATAGGTCTGTCTATGACTTGAAATGACAGATGAATTATGCAAATGTAACTTTTAAAAGACATACAGTCCATTATATGTCAAAAACCTGTGGGAGAACTTGTTTCTTACTTTGAGTATCAGTTACAACGGTTCAGTGTTTTATCTAAAAGGGGTGACCTGATAGCCAAATGGTTAGGGTGCATACCACATGGGTTCAAGTACCCTGAGCAATGAGCCCCGGGTTTGACTCCTGGCTGACAAGACCTTTTGCTGCCTGTCATTCCCTTTCTCTCTCCCTGATTTACCTGTCTGTCTCCACTGACACTACCTAATAAAAGCATAAAATGGCCAAAATAGAATAAAATTACCCTGTAAATCGGGGGCTCTTTTATAAAGTGTGACTTTTTACAATGTCGTGTATGTGTTTACAGTGCAGCCAAACAAACTTGTTTAATTAACAAAGTAAGTAACTAATCACCATTTTCGCATCATGAGCAACCTTGATCTGAATTCCTGCTGCACGCAGAGTCGGTACCTTTACACACAGCTGCAGGACACAGTGAAAGCAGCTGGTTATGGAGCTTGACCGCTGTGTTGTTTTGTGGATGCACGTTTGATTTACAATCGTGGCGCTAGCTAACATCAGTGACTAATACTTTGTGTTTCCTGTGGCAGTCGCTCTGTGTCAGTCCAGTTCAAGTATTTTAATGTGAAGGATCAGACACAGGAAATGTTAGTCCGATGGCGGTTTACAATGTAAAATCTGAATAAACACTTTTAACAGTCATGATGGTAATGTTCAGTCTCTTATGCACAAAACCAGTTTAATAAATAGGAAAAGCAAGGAAAGAATCAATTATAATATGATGAGGAGATTAATCTTCTCATATCAGATAAGTCTATTAAAATATTTTTCTCCAGTGTGACTGGAGCAAAAGAGGTTAAAAACCCTCTCACAACCAAAGTCATAATCTGACCAATGGTCTCTTAATGTATTTCTAATATTCATTAAAGCCACAAGGTGATGCATATTTACTTTACCATTGTCCATCAAAATGTTTTACCTACAGCATTTGACCAAAACATCACCAATTACTGCCAAGATGGCAACGGCAGAGGAGCTCACTCTGAGCTTCAGAAACCTGTGGGTGATGTCACAGAGTCAACGTCCATCTTTATTTACAGTCTTTGCTTCTTCCTTTAGACGGTTGATGGAAAACATGAAAACATGAGCGGCAGAAAAACAACATTTCTCCTCACGGGTGCTTCTGTGCAGCAACAATCTTCAACAGTAAAACTGATCCGCTGTTAGCAACTTGCAACTTTTGTTCAGTCAAAGTCAGCTGCTGCTCTGCTGTTTGTGTGTGTGTGTGGGTAACAACTAGTCTCCACGTGACTCTATATTGAATGAGCCCAAAATGTCAGTTACCTAATGAGTCAATTGATTAAACACAGAATACTGTCTCCAGAAGATTGCATCTCTGCACACAAACACAAACACACACACACACACACACACACACACACCTCTTGCTCTGATGTGGTTGTGTTTGGTTTAATTCTGGCTCCAGACGGCTCGTTCTGACCCGTGGAGCTTCAGACAGCTAAATGAGATCACGATGACTCTGGACTAAGTTTATCAAGTACTAACAACCTGTCAATCAAACACAGTCTCCTGAACGCTCCTTGTTTATGTCCACAAATGCCATTATTTTTTTATTTTTCAAAATGAGGAAATCAGTTTAAGGTCGACTGTGCTGGAGATTTTGATCATATCACATGATCTCCATCAGCAGATAGAGTTCGCCCATTTGTTCTGCAGTTGCAGATATTAAAGCTTCTGACCACATTAAAGACTTCTAATCCACGCCTGTTTAAAAGTCAGCAGCCGTCCTGGAGCTTTTGATCGTGTCACACTGAGCAAAACTTAACTGAACCTTGAAGCTCCAGAGTGAAAAATGGAAATCTTAAGGTCATCAGTTCTGTCATAAATGAGCGAACTCCACGTGCAGAAGAAGATCATGTAATTTGTTAGAAAACTACAAAACTGACATGTGTTTTTGTGCGGCAGGTTTGGTCGTAAGTCGATGCTTCTCGTTGCTTTAATTGCCGCCACCATGCTTGGTTTCACCTCGGCCTTCTCCACCTCCTACGTCATGTTCGCCATCTGCAGAGCGCTCTGTGGCGTGGCCCTCAGTGGACTCTCCATCATCGGCGTGGTCCTCGGTAAGAGCTCAATGACACATCTCGAATTGACTGTCTGCACCGTGGCGACACTGGTGTGATTTTACAATGAAAATTTTGCAGAAGGATGGAGAACACAGACGCAGAGAGCGACCTCCGTTACTGTGTAGATAAGATGACACCTCAGTTTATTGAGATTACAGCTTAATTAATATTTTATTAAACCACACAGTCGACACTGAGATAACGATCACAACAGCATCATATCAACAACCATTCGACTGCGATGGATATTTCATCTCACTGAAGACTGTTTGGTGTCGCCACCGTCTTCCTGCAGGTATCGAGTGGACGGACGTGAAGCACCGGACCTTCACTGGTACCGTCATGAGTTTGTCATGGAGCGTGGGGAACATGTTCCTGGCCCTGATGGCCTACTTCATACGAGACTGGAGACACCTGATGCTGGCGGTGACGGCGCCCTGCATCGCCGCCATCATCTCCTGGTGGTAAGTCTTCCACATTGTCAGTGAATATCTTCGTGTCTGGGTTTTTCAAGAGCCAGATTCCTCCATGTGTTTTCAGGTGGCTGCCAGAGTCGGCCCGCTGGCTGCTGGCCAATGGCAAAGTGGAGGAAGCTCAGAAGTATCTGGTTCAGTGCGCCGAGATGAACAGGAAGAACGAATACACATCCAAACTGGACACTGAGGTACAGCTGACGACTGACTCAATCAACATCCAGCACTCGTAAACATTAGCAATCAGTTAAATCTCAAATCAATACTTCATACGGTTTAGAAGCTCAGAGTGAGCTGTTCCACTGTAGACATCTTGGCAGGTGACAGACACACCCCACCACCTGCTGTCAATCAAACACAGACACACCCCTCCACCAGCTGTCAATCAAACACAGACACACCCCTCTACCTGCTGTTAATCATACACAGACATGCCCCTCCACCTGCTGTCAATCGTACAGACACACCCCTCCACCTGCTGTCAATCAAACACAGACACACCCCTCCCCCAGCTGTCAATCAAACACAGACACACCCCTCCCCCAGCTGTCAATCAAACACAGACACACCCCTCCCCCAGCTGTCAATCAAACACAGACACACCCCTCCCCCAGCTGTCAATCAAACACAGACACACCCCTCCCCCAGCTGTCAATCAAACACAGACACACCCCTCCCCCAGCTGTCAATCAAACACAGACACACCCCTCCCCCTGCTGTCAATCATACACAGACACGCCCCTCCACTTGCTGTCAATCATACAGACACGCCCCTCCACTTGCTGTCAATCAAACACAGACACACCCCTCCACCTGCTGTCAATCATACACAGACACGCCCCTCCACCTGCTGTCAATCGTACAGACACACCCCTCCACCTGCTGTCAATCACACTGACACGCCCCTCCATCTGCTGTCAATCAAACACCTGCTGAGATGAAAAGCATTTCTGATCTTTATCTCTGTTTTAATTATAAAAACCATTAAAAAACACAGCGACATTATTCCAGGGATGACTCCTCAGTTGAACTGTAACGTGCTGTAGTCTCAGTGTTGATTGTTTCAGGCTCTGGGGAAGGTGACGGTGTCTGAGGTGGCCGAGAAGAATCACTCCTACCTGGATCTGGTCAAAACGCCTCAGCTGAGGAAGATCACCCTCTGCTCCGGATTGTTCTGGTACCTCATCACGTCGATGAAAACGTTGTTTGTCTGCCGTGTGTGTTCATACTGACTGTGTTGCTGCACCTCCAGGTTTGCTGTTGCCTTCCTGTACTATGGAATCAGCTTCAAGATCTCAGGTTTCGGCGTCAGCATCTACCTCACACAGTTCATCTACGGGGCCATCGAAGTTCCCGCCAAAATCCTCACCTTCTTCGTCCTAGACTGGATCGGCCGGAGAAACGGCCAGGCGTGGTTCCTGATCACAACCGGAGCCCTGATTGGAATAAACACGGCCATACCTTTAGGTCACTTCACTTCCTTACATTGCGATGAGCTCTATCTTACCTGTCTGTCCGATGTGCGTCGACGTCGCCAGACCCTCACACCTGATCGATCTGCTTCTCTTTCAGACTACTCTGTGCTTCGAACGTGCATCGCCGTGGTGGCGAAGGGTTTCTCTGAGGCGGCGTTCACCACTGCGTTCCTCTACTCAGCAGAACTCTACCCAACCATCCTCAGGTAAAACCCGAACCTTAAACCAGGAGAGTCAACATAAAGGACCAACGTTGCTTTTACTCACAGAACATTTTTAACCCTGACAGGAAAATTACATTCAGTCAGCTCAGTTTGTTTTTGGTTCAAACCAAAAACCAAAGAAATGAAAAACCATGGTGTTTGATTACAAAAACATTAAGACTTTTTTGGTTTAAAACAAAAAAATTAAAGTACACGGACCATTTGGATTATTATTACTGATGCATTAATGTGAAAGTATTGCTTTAATATTGGCACGAATGCCAATCAGGAAATTTCATAGGAGGGGTGTTCAGGAAAGGTGAAAGGTTCTTGCTCTGCACCAAGGTGTTGGGCCCACCTTTCTGTGCTCAGGTCCTCAGACAGTGAATGAGAGGTTGTGTTGTTGTTGGACAGGCAGTGCGGTCTGGGCTACACCTCCTGCCTCTGTCGGATCGGGAGCTCCCTGGCTCCGATGATCATGCTGTTGGAGGATGTCTGGCTCTTTCTGCCGCCGCTGATCTTCGCCGGGACAGGGATAGTGAGCGGCAGCCTGGTCTTCCTGCTGCCGGAGACGCTCAACATCCGTCTGCCCGAAAACATTTTCGACATCGAGGAGGGAAGGTACAGCCACTCAGGCATCTTCTGTTCTGTCCTTATGAACACAAATACAACACAATTACTAACACATGCAGTCAACATGCCCATTACAGTAACATGTGATGTATAAAAAAAGGCGGATTTAGGTCCAAACCCAGGTCAGTATTGTAAAGAGAAGTTCTGAAAAAGCAGCAACGACAGAATGGAGGTACTTCTACTGTACCTCCATTCTGTACTTCTATTTCAGTGGTTCTCAAACTGGGGGGCACATAATGAATATGATATATGTCTGGAAAATAAGAGTTTGCTGATGCTTACGTGCTGACTTCACTAAAATTCAGAGACTGTCCTCCTGTAAAGACACGAGCCCACAGGTCGTCTGCAGCAGGTTATTATGACATCATAATTAGGTTTTGTTGCTAGGCGACATCTAGTGGTTGTAGTGATGATGACAGGAGCGTAGGGAAAAGTGTTGGTGACGTGGTATGAAGAGGGACAGAGTCCACGTCAGGAGGAGGTGGTGGTGGATGGATGAACATGACACAGGAAAGCGGTGTGTTCGATTCCCATGTTGTTATTATTATCCATGACCGTTCATTGTTATTACTGTAACCAACAAAGATCGTCTAATGTTGAGGGAATATATATATATATATGTACTATAGTAACCAATAACAACAAAGGTAGTTATGCCGCTGTAGGAACAGTCCACGTGTTTATTATTGTATCCATGGGTACTGAGGGTCGTATCAGAGGGTTGAAAAAAACGACTGATTGGATTGGAGGACTGGTTACAAATTCAAGATGGATCCTTTTGTATCAGCTGGTCTAACAACATCAACAATAACAGTAAATAGTTTCATTAAATTTCTCCTTTTCTTACTTCCTGTTCAGACACAGGCAGAGTGACGCAGACGGAGACGCAAATATTGAGCTGAAGAAAATGAACCATGAAGACGAAGCAACAATGTCACAGGACTGATCAGGTTTTCTTCCTCGTTGGTTAAGACATGAGTTGTGGCTGCAGCCTGTGGGGAGGCTGCAGACTGACGAGGGTGGATTGGTGCTTTCTGATTTCATTTAAACCTCAACTGTAGAGTAGAAATATCTTTATCGTGTGCTCATGACACACCTGACACAGGTGGGAGTCGTCATTAAAGACTGTTTTTTTAATACTGTCAAATACCTGCTGCTGATGTTCAGCTGTCAATAACCTGACTAAGTTCTGAGTTAGGTGATACATAACTGACCTGACTTGTACAATATCTTCTGATATCAAATGAAGACTATGCAAATAAAATGTTTTATGCATATTTGTCTTCTTTACATTTTTTATCTGCCATTTTCTCACCTAAGAAACTAATCTCCTTTTACATCACATTAATTTCTTCTTCACTGAAGTTTCTGACAATACTGCCATTAGAATAAAAACAACAATGAAATCACCATTTTACAAAAATACAGCAAAAAAGGAAAAGAAAGAGTCTGGCAAGAATCAAACTCAAATACTTTATAGTATCAATGTTCAATTCTACAAGTTGAAAATAAAAGTAAGAAAACAAATGTTAGATGCACTCAGAATTGTGGTCCAACCATGGAAAGAAAGGGATTTATAAAATGTTAAACAATATTCATTTAGAAAACAAAATATGTTCCATCACAACAACTAGATAATAAACAATACGCTCTATACACCTTCAGTTCTATGAGGCTGTTGTGCTATTTGCCAAACATGCACAAAATGACAATGCTAACATGTTGAGGTTTAGCAGAAAAAAATTAGCTATGTTCATCTTATGCGTATTAGCATGCTGTCATCTCATTTAGTAATTGGTAGTAAACACACGATATAGCCAGAGCGCAAATTATGCAATTGTAATCATCATCATCTACAGACAGTAGATGATGATGATGAATCAAATCCATAACAGCAGCTCATGAAGCATGTTCCACACAACAACTTCTGTAGTCAGGGCTCACCGACAAAGTAATCAAGAGCAAAACTGCCAGCACATCAGACAAAAGTAGACCATGTCAGCAGATAAATCTAAGGGGTCATCACATGATTCATCAGAGAGGAAAGAAGAAAAAACAAGGTCCTGGTTCACAAATGTGTTTTCAGTTTTTAGACTTTCTAATCTTTGATTCTTGGTGAGATATTTGATCACTTCAACATTCATGGAAATTAAACCATGTGAGAAGTTTAGAGGGAAACATCACTATTTGTTGGAGTGTGAACAACTCAGACATCTGATTAAACACTGCTTTTTGTAAGATGTAAGAAGCCGAAAAGTTGAAATATACCTAATTACTTTCCCTCATGGCTAATACAATTACTGAGCCTTCATCATACATGTATTTTAATATTGTTCGACGATCAAACCAGATAAAACTCCTGAATTCCTGAGTGAAAATAAAGAGGGAGTTTCTTAAAAACCTAAAACCAAAAAGGTAAAAGAAAACCGCCAGACACACAAAAGACTATTGACGTGATTAATAAACTCTATATTGATGTTAAAACTTACCTCTACAACAACTAACCCTCCATCATCCCACTGCTCATGACTGAGCACCAGTGTTTGCTAACATTAGATGTTGGTAATGAAATGACAAGCTAACACTGGAAATGAATGGGCGCTCTCAGCTAGCTAACATTAGTTAGCTAAACTGCAGCCTAAGGTTAGAAACTAGCTAACATTAGTTAGCTAAACTGTAACTGAAGGCTAATGTTAGAAACAAGATGACTTCAGTGTTCATCTGTAGATACTTCAAACAATCTCATTCAGAAACTGTGGGTAAGACAGTAAAGTGTTTTAAACCGACTGGATAGTTTGATACTGAAACTTACATTTACCGTCACTATCGCACGGGAGCCCAAACGCAGCACAAGGAGCGGGACGTAAACAAGACTTAACGTCAGGGTTAGGAAATGGTACGGTCCACTTGAGGGGTGTCTGAAATCCTATCACAAGATTCTTCCAAGCATGAATATGGGAAATATATTATAATAGTTATAATTACAGGTAAGAAAAATATATACATGTTTCAACTCCCCCGGACTGTTGTTTTTACCTCCTTTGGGGCGTCCATGTCTTTACCGGCGGAGTCAACCCCCCACCCCACCCCGTAATTCAAACCCTGAGTGTACCTGAGGCTGATGGGAATGTCACTAGTTCTGCAGGTATGTGGTCATAAACTAAAGTACTGAGCAATTTAAAATGTGACCTGAGAATGAACAAAGTTATTACAGTTCATCCTGAGGGGAACATGAACATCTGCACCTAATTTTATCACAAACTCTCCATTAGTTGTTGAGATATTTCAGCCTGAGCAGAGGACTGACGGTGGCGTCCACAGCTGTGCTGCTAGCATGGATACAAAGTACAATTCAAAATACATTCCTGGCTCTGATTGGCTGGTTGTGATGAAGCAGGCTGATGATGAGGCCTTCGTGTCCTTCATGTGTTCACGGTGTGGAGCGTCTTTCAATGCTGAAGGCAGTGCATTAGGAACTGATGGCCTCTCATTGTTTTCCAATCAGTTCCTGATGCAGTATCATCAACATCAGAAAGCTCTGGACTCTGGACCCTGGACTTGTCATTCTGACTCCACAGATACACAGTTATACTCACCTCTACATGCACAGAGTCTCCACCCAAAAACTGAATGAGTTACATTAAAAGGAGTTGTTTTTTGTCCCATCAGTGTGACTGTGTGAACAGATTTATGCCCCAACAACAGGAATAATACAGGAAATGCACAATATGAATATGACAATACAACTGAAGTGCAAGTTAAACATAACATGCTTATCTACAAAAGTTAGTTTTGTCTAAAAATCCTTAATAAATTATCAGAAAATAAGTCAAAATGTGTTTTTTTTTTCCATGATGACAAACAGTGAAACAGAAACTGACTCGACTTCTTGAACCAAAAAAACTTGATGAACCACTGACCTCAGACATGAGAGAAAATATGTCAGAAAAACTATAAAATATATTTTAAAAGTTGTAAACATCACATCAAGGCTCAGTCCACTCAAATCACAAAAACAAAACAACAACAGTCATGTTTTATTCTTAGTTTGGATGAACTCTCCCTTTATTGCACCTGAAACCTCTGAATAAAAAAAAAAAATGAAAAAAGACCCTTTGAGTGGCTGTTTACTGACTTTATATTAATGACCATGAGACACGGAGAAACTTTAACAACAAAATAAACCCTGTTGATATATTTTTGGTGATGGTGCTGCGTTCAGGTGAACCTCGACCGGAGCTGCGAGATGCTCAAAACTCACAGTTGCCAGCTGAGATTAAACTGAATCACAGCTGTTTCCTCTGGATTCTATCTTTTTGTATTTCATTAGTCCTTTAACCCTCTGATGGCAGGTGTGTGAACATGAACAGTTACCTCCAGCTGCCACCAGGGGGCCGCCAAGTGTTGATCAGAGCAGAGTGATCAGCAGTGACTGGATCATCTCTGCAGGTCATTGTGAGGAAACGTGTGACGTCACAGTTGCCTGCAGAGATTAACAAGTCGACCTGAGGAGCTGGAAAAACACACACACACACACACACACACACACACACACACACACAGATGTTACCATGGAGATTGGTCTTGTCTGGTTTCTCACAGCCGGCAGAGGACGCTCTGATGAACCGAAGGAAGGGAGGAGAGAGAGAGGAGATTTGGAGGAAAGATTAAAACATCACAATCTCACACAGACTGTGATTTTAGTTGGTTCACTTGGTTTGTTGAGTTTATTATTGTTGCCTCCAGGTGAAAGAATTGGCGCCATTTAAACACCTTCATTTATTCATTACTGAAAACTTTATTCTTCATTTATGTTGAATTTTTTGTTTGTTTATTTGTTTGTTTGTTGACACATTTCACATTTTGCATGTTCAACTCACCTGCTATCCTCTATTAAAGTCTCAAGGTTGTATTAGCTTAGCATTTAGCAATAATGTAACAAACACATTACTCTTTAGTTAATCTAGAGAGTAATTCTCAGGAGATTATTTGGAAATTAAAGGACCCATATGTCACTTGGAGTGGAACATGTATGAGAGTGAACGTGACTTAGAAATGTACAATAATGGAGAAACAACCACAATACACCCCTTCACACACACACACTGACAGACCTGAGTGCAGATGACATGTTGGATTTGTTCCGGCCTGCGGGCTCCGAGGTCGCTAACGAGGCGAGACGTGGACAGACAAAGCATCAATTAGAGCTGCGGGGTGTCGGAGCGGCGCACAGTGGACACTGAACACGGACCCCCTCGGCTGCTCCATTGTCCCGCCTCGGAAAACAGAAAAATAAAGACAATGTGATTTGATTCTGCTGAGGTGCACTCCAAAAGGCTCCACAGCGTCTGCGAGTTAAAAAGCGCTCCCTGTCGTCTTCAAAGCGTCGTCGACCTCTCGGTCTGCAGCCGGCAGATGTGTTCCCGCACGTCGGCCCCTCGCTGTGCTCCACATACACTTCTCATCAGAAACCGTTCCTGCTCAAACAGCGTCAACATCACAGCAACAAGTTTCCAGTATGTCCATCAATAATCAACCAAATAACAGTTCAGTGTGGGAACAGAAACATTTCATCTGTGCAGTGTAACACAAGCAAGAACAAGAAGTTGTGAAAGATAACAAACAATAAAATAATCAATAGTCTGACATTTGTCTGGATTTTGGAGGCAGATTTTTTTCTGCTTATTAAGTGATGAAAATGTCAAATAAACATTAGAAACATCCATAATCACTTCTCTTATCACAGAAATAATATTTCTTGATGCATAAAAAAGTTGTTTTCTGGTCTACCCACACACATAAAGGCTCCTGAGGAGATATCTTTAGTAATTCACTGTAAAATCCCCATATTAAGGCTCATTTATGACATTTTGATTGAAGCTAAAAGAAAAAGTTTAACTAAAAGAAAAAAGAATATTCCTCGTCTGACAGGAGCTGTTGTCTCCGTACATCAACCAGATTGAAAGACTTCAATATCCAGTTTTGTGCTTTTAAATTGTTTCCAAATATCCAACACGTTAAAGACACGTCTCCTCGTCTCAACACGTATGACATAAGAGTGAAAAATTCTCCACAGTTATTTCAGTTCATGTGATTTTCAACATGTGAATTTGAAGCTGTGAACATGTGGCGCTGCGGTTCAGCTCAGAAACACAACACACAGTCACTCAGCGTCACCCAGACCCTCAGAATTACACACACCTGCATTATTAACATTATTTCAAAATTAAAGTTTTTTTCCTTACCTCTGTGAGATGAACACACACATGGAGGCTGCCAGGCTGAGGAGAGATGTGAGAGTCAGTACTGTAGCACCACGCTGACCCCTGAGACACACACACACACACACACACACACACACACACACACACACACACACACACCCGTCCCTGCCATTGCTCCCCCACCCCAAGACCTCACCCTCAACAGTCAGGGCTGAAGAATTTAAAATTTTAAATTTTAAAATTTTTAAAGATATTTCTCTTTAATCCCATAAAAAGATTTTTACTTAAAAACAGAACAGCAGAATTTTACATTTGTTTATATGGTGATAATGATTTAGAAAAACAATTTAATAGTACATTATTTCTTTATTTTTGTGGTGGAAAAACAACATATGTGATCATCCGAGCCTCTGTTTTTCTGCCTCATCCAGTTCAGTTGTTCAGTCTGATTGTCTTTATAGATCTGGAGCATTGCTCATAGACAGCTGTTATATATAACGTGGAGCCATAGACACTGTAGATAGAACATCTGTGGAGAGACCTGACGACGGTTCACAGACTCTTCACATCCAGACGGAGCTTCAGAGGATCTGACAGGAAGAACGAGACACAAATCTGCACAAATCCAGGTGTGAAAGCTTGTACTGACTAAACCAAGTCAACTGGAAGCTGTAACTGCTGCTAAAGGAGCTTTTGTAAATGAAAAGTTTTAGTTTTTGATTTTTAACAAATTAAAAAAAAATCTAAAAACATTATGGATCATTGAGTGAAGACTGATGAGCAAAATGGCAATTTAATCCATCTAAAATTAAATCTAGATAGATAGATAGATAGATAGACAGACAGACAGACAGACAGACAGACAGACAGATAGATAGACAGACAGACAGACAGATAGATAGATAGATAGATAGACAGACAGACAGACAGATAGATAGATAGATAGATAGATGTAGTTTTATGTTGGAATTGAAAGGTTTTAAACTTGGACTTCAGTGTCTTCAGTCATTCATTAACTTCACTTTCTAGTGAACACAGTTCTACGTGTCGGCGTAGCCTTGATGTTAGTGTGTTCTCCTTATCTGGCAGCCGCCGGCCTTCCCACCTTCACACGTCTGCAGCACCTGACGCCTTCCCAGCAACAAACACACAAGGTGTCACCGCAACACACAGTCTACGAATATATCTGGAAATAACTTCACCTGCAACCAACACTGTAATCAGACAATACAGCCTTGTATTATTTTAGGAATGTGAATATGTGTATGTATTTAAGCACATTATATAATTTAATTAAAAAAACTATTTTAAAATATTTCTATACTTCTATGTCAACAGCTGAGCAATTTCCATCTGCTGATGACAGCCACTAGTGAGACTGAAAGCTCTAATAAAAATCTAGTAAGTGGACCTTGAGTTATTAATTTTTTTATGTGAATATTCCAAAAGTCAAGTATTGAATTTATTTAAAACAGATGAAGCCATCTGTTCAGGTGTATGAACAGTTTAAAGCCCTATGTGTAATCAATTAAATATAATTACAGCCATGTTATACTGCATTATCAATAATTCATTAGCTGTTCATGCAGCAGTTACAGTTGGTTATAGTTAGTTTAGTCCTTAGTCCCTGTTTCCCATTCCCTAATTAGTCTCACAGTACTTAAACTGCCCCAGTTACTCGCAGTCTTTGCAATTTATTTCCTTATCTTGTTCATCCGCTGCATTAGTCGTCCTCCATCTTATTTTTTTACGTTTTCAGAATTAAAGGGAAAATGTATAATTCTTCTGCAGCTGCTCACGTTGTATAATAAAAAAATGCCATCTTAAGGGGTAATGAACTTTACTCTGCACCACAAACAGCTGTTGACTATGAGGGTAACCTGCTAAATCTCAGGGTAATGTGAGTCCTCAGTGGAGGAATAAACCTTCCCAACAGAGGAGAATCAAGTTATGGGAACTGGAAACCAATCCTCACATTAACTTGAAAAGTCACGTGGTTATTAATGTTTGTCTCGTCTGAGGTTATTTTCATTTCCTGTTTTCTTAAACCTGAACATTGTTTTCTAATTCTCTCTTCTTCACTTTTTTACCCATTGCATCTGATCTGTTAGTTTGATGATGATTTACTCTCGGTGCCAGTGTAAACGTATAAAAAGAAAATCATCTTTATTTCTTACATTTAAATTACATTTCATATATTGTTTGTTTTGTGATAAATATGTGTAAAGTTTTTTTTTCTACAAGTTTTAATTTGGTATTTCCCGTCTGCACAGCAGTACTTTATATTGAAAGGAAGTTGGTCTCAACAGACAACGACGGTATCTTGACAGAAACGTCAACGGCTGTTGAGCTCTGGTCATATCTGAGTTTTCGTTTTAAAAAATTAGTGTAATGAGGTGAAATAAATGAGGTGAAAACCACGGTAAGCTCAGGTTAAATAGGTAACGCGGTGGTTTAATTGGTAAATATCCTTCTTAAAGCATTAGACTTGACTTTTATTTGATGTTAGCTGACCTGATGTGTTGTTAGCAAAGTTCGGAGCTAGCTTACAGTAACGGAACAGTGAAATACAAGTGCACTCCCGCCTTGGCTTCAAAGGAGGGAAGACGCGTTGGCGGTCCCTCCATTTCTGCTCTGTAGCCAAGATGGCGGGTGAGAAGTGTCTCTTGTTCTACACTCGGCTGCAGCATCCGGGTACGTACAGGGCACTGCATGTTGCCGAACGTGCTAATGCAGTCGAAATAGCTAGTGTGAAGCGCGCACATCGACACAAGACACTTGTTTCTAACAGAAATATGATCTGTTATCGTTTTATTCTTTTTTATTTATTTGGTTTATTCGTAAGGGACAGGCACAGAAACACATGTAAAAGTGCAGGAGGGGTGTTCAATGTTCTGTACATGTCTTTGAAGCTGAAGATAATTTCCAAAACCGGTCCCTCAGTACAGATAGGATTTGTAAAATGACCACCTTTGATTGTTAATGAGAGTCATGTAATTTCTTAATTGGACATTGCTAGCCTAAAAATGAAAACTTAAGGATAAGTTGATCCTGGGGTGTTTGTGGTAATGATAATACAACTCTTCCATTGTCAGGCTCAAGGGCAGCTGGTGGTGACCTAACCTCTGCATGCATTGCATGCCTGGGGAACATCTGGCTCAGCCTTGAAGCAAAACCAAGATTTCCGTCCTGCTCCACTCCATCTGTGCCCGAGCCGTGGAACCAGGTAGAGGACAGAAAGTTACAACTTCAAATGGATGCTTGTATTTTTTTCTATCCAGGCACAATTGAACCTGTATCCTTAAGAGCTTTGTGGAGACAAAAATAATATGTTGGTGTAGCCTTTAACACAGCACACAAAGGTTCAGGTTCAGAATACCTTTTCTCAAATGTTAATGTGAAAACAAAAACTCAGAAAACAACCTGTTGTGTAAACTGTCAGGTTTGTGTATGTAGTATTTTTATGAATTAGGGATCAGAAGGCTTCATTTGTTTCCCAGTTATATGAAATTCCCTCTGTGTGTTTTGCTGAGCTGCAGTGGAGGGATTGTAGCATGAAGAGGGAATCTTGTACTATAAAGACTGAACATTTTACTATAGAAGCCTAATATCATCATCTGATTAAAGCCACCATTAACTTTAAAAATACATTACATACATTTTGGCTTTTTCAGTGACATTCTGTGACCTTGAACATGGTTTGGCTGAACAACATGTTTGTATGAGAAGTCACATGAGATCCAGCAGAGTTTAACGTGTTAATGTCAGCATAATTTAAAAACCAATAACCAAGATATCCAGCTGAGTCAGGCTGACTGTGACCCATGGCTGTACGATGGGTCCATTTTTGGCTGCCAGCTTTAGCTAGATTAGCTAAAGTAGGGACTTTGTGGACAACAGTCAAACGAATACAAAAGTAATATTGAGTGTAATATGAAGTTGTGCTGATGAGAATGTATGTACTGTGTAGATGGGCACAGCTGTACTTAACCTGTCTTCATCTTGTGATTTTGTTACAGTGAGATACCACAATGAATCTTCACATGACATGAAGAGGAAGCTGAAAGAGCTGAAGATGGAATTTCACTTCCTCATTGATGCTAGGGCAACTGGACTTTGATGCTTGTGACAGGTTCAGATATTCTCCAGACCTCCAGACAGGAAACAGGTAAGAGTCCCACTCTTGCTTCAGCTCATTATGTAGATAATTTAGTTTGTAATATGATGTGAGAAGAGGACAATAATAGTATTTCAATTGCTTGGCTTTTCAGCTATTTTGTGAATTGCCTTGCATGTAGGGATGTTAATGGTTCATGTATTTGTGCCGTGCTGTTTGGTTCAAATCCAAATGAATAAAATCTAGCTTTACCCATGTGTGTCACAGGAGACATTGTTAGCACCAGTAGATCTGTCCTTTCTTGGGTCGCTCACCTGGTAGAACTGTTCCATAAAGGTTTAGTCCTGCCCCGGGCCACTGTTGGTAGGACTGTGGGCCATTGAATCCGACCCCAGGCCCTTTGCTTCATGTCAACCTCTCCCTCTCTCTCCCGTACCTTCCTGTCTCTATCTGACTGTGGCTATCAAAATAAAGGTAAAAAACAGATGTGCCCTTTCTGCAGATAATGTTGATATATTCATCTTTCTGAACTAAAAACATGAGAATAGAGTGAATGTATCAATCATTTTCTACATGCTTTTATTTTATTTTTGTATGATTTATTTCTTATTTATTTGATAACCTTCTGAAGCACTTTCAGTCTGGATCGCAGCCATATCAATAATACCTAGAAGACTTGGGTTTTTTACTTTTTTTTAAGAAATGTGCCTTTATGTTCATTTCTTGTTTTCAACAAATAACAAGTCATCCAATGGAAATTATGGCCACTCGGTTACAAGTTTACAATTACATGTTTATGTTTACAAATTAAATTCATTATAGATTAAAGAAATGTATGTTTATGTTATGAAATGTTATGTAATGTGATCTTTGCGTACCGTTACACCCCTACTTGTGTCTGAATGGTGCTATATGAATAAAACTTGCCTTACAATAAAACAAATACAAAAAAATCATATTTATCTGTTTCCTTCATCCTTTGCTTACTGATTAAAAAATAAAATAAAATCTTACTTCTTAAAATTATACATACTCTGTCATGGTCTATTCGTCACTAAATAAGTACAGACTTGTTTCACCAAGATGAGAAAGCAGAATTTGTTTCAGCTTTAGACTTGGACAAATAAATTATTTTATTTAAATTTGAGCACATGACTCACCAAAATGGAATGTAAATGGTGCTGTTAACATCTTCCTTTATATCTATGGAAATGTTTACTTGTATGTAGTTGACAAGAAGAATGATGACCCAGATTAACACTTTATTGGATTTTATTTTTCTATTGTCAATAGTGTAGAAGAGTAAAAGAAAATCCTAATATGAAACATACCGGAAATTGGGTCACAAATATAATTTTCCTGTCAGGGTTGAAGACAGCAGCAGAAATCCTGCAGCCTGTGATGATAATGTGTGAGCTCTGACATCATGTTGTTGTGTGAAGGTGGGGGCTCTGCCATGGATCAGTGGGAGGAGACGGAGGAGGGAGCCCCCCTGTGTGGGGAACATGAGACTCAGACCAAAGCTCAGAGGTGAGATGAGGATCTCTAACGGTCCATGACTCAGATCACTGCTCCATCATTATTCACACTCAAACCTCTGTGTGTGTTGTGTTGAAGGCCAGAGCAGCAGCAGAGACCAGACTCTCCTGGACCTGGACCTGAACCCAGCTGTGTGTCCATCAAGAGCCACCAGTCCATGGATCCATCTTTGCTGTCTGAAGGAGAACTTCCCTCTGAAACTCAGTAAGTCAACATAGTCCCATGTCACAGTAATGTTCCCATAACACTGCATCATGTTCTGTACAAGTTCTATTACTGCTATGGTTCGCAGAACGATTCTTTTGCAACAACAGCATCATCTGATGCCACTTACAACCCATGGAAGTCATATCTCTTGTTTGGACTGCTGGTCATGTTATTTCAATAAAACTTACCTCTATGGAGCAGCACTCAACATTAGACAGTCTGCTACAGTAGAAGTTGATGTTATATAACGTTAGTGTTAGCTCAATAATTGCCCAAGGGCCACTGATTCAGTCGGACCCTGCTGTTTCGCCTTCTGTGAATGATAATCCTGAATTCTTGATCAGCATTGCTTCCTTGATTGTTGAAATCTACCTGGCACTTGTTGTTATACAAAGCCTTACACACTAAGCTGCAAGGATGCATCGCACCAAAAATTTCAGATGTATGAAACTGTGAGCACACAGGAGTCCACACACATTACATTCTTTGTACATCCCAATTGTCGTGGATTTGAGCACACATGCACAAACACAACACTCCACCCTCTCTCTGACCTGAATTCAATATGCTAATGAATATAAATGCCTGCACTACCCCTCACTTCAGAATTGGGAAAATGGAAAAACCAAGCGATAAGTCGGCCAAAAAGAGGCAATTCAGCGAGTGCGAGTCCTCTGGCATCAATACTAATAAATTAAGGAGGAGTGTGGTGAAGGCTTTTAATGCCGTGAGGTGAAATGTCTTGCACCAGAACCAGTTTACAAACTTTCTCTTGATTGAAATGAGAAAAAAAGGTTTGCAGTAGTATTATTACATCCACCATGCACTGTTTTCAAAAGACACTGCATAGAATACAGAGATGTGCCAGGCAAACCATGAGACCGTGACTATCCAAATCTTTCCAACTTTATGCATTAGTTTATCGGCAGAAGTAAATGACTCAAACAGACAAATGGGCTTGTCAGAAAGCACCGATTCACTAGTTTAACAGGAAAAAACAACATGTCTCTAGCTCAAGCCATTGAGGACTAATAACAATCTAGAGACACTGATAGATTTCTGTGAATGTGCACTTCTGTGTGTGTCAGGGGAGTTGATTTTAAATTGATTTAACCTGTTAAGCCCTAGGGATGCTGGGAGTATACCTCACCTAGACAGACATACCCAAACTATTAGGTCACTATGGATAGGTATGACCTCAGAGAAGTTATTCCATGTGTCAGTAACATTGTGACTGTTACTATAGCTGAGTAAATTGTGATGAACCAAAGGAAAAATGTAATTTTTTTATCCTCACCTAGAGTTGATTTTAAATTAGACGGTGGATAACACCATTATAACAATAGAGGAGCGCGATTCTCTCGTTCACATCCGACCGTGAGTGTGAAAGATGGCGTACGCAACGTTTGTGTGCATACATAATATTTGTTCCATGAGGCCCCAGGTAAGTGCAAAGTGTCTTGTTTATATGCTTAACTCACAGGTGTATGAATTGACCTGGATAAGAAGTGTCCATATTGCAAAATATTATAACATTAATTTGTAAAGAGATAAGACAACTCTGTCCTCCCTCTCCTCTCTTATTGAAAAAATAAAGAAAATCAGCAGTGGTGTACAATCAGGTACAAACAGGGGAAACACTGCTATAAAGAGCGTAAACTCAGCAGAGCATTCTGAAACTGTAAGAAAATGGCAGAAAGTAATTATAGTGCACTAGCTAGCAAACAAGTGATTTAAATCGTGCACAGTTTTCTGGACTGGTCCATTTTGACTTAAGTTCAGCTTTTTTATATTCTACCAAAAGACATTATCTTATGGTTTGAGAGGTGCATCGGTTCGTCTGTTTCTATCAGCGTTCTTCAGCAGAGACCAGACTCTCCTGTACCCAGCTGTGTGTCCATGAAGAGTGAGAGGTCCATGTCGAAATCTCTTGACTTCAGAGATGATCACCACTCTACTGGAGAACGGTAAGAATTTACACCAGGTGAGTGTAAAGCCCTTGGGTTTTGCACACGCATTACACATAGGTCAAGTGTGTGGTGGTGACTGCTGGATTAATGCTTTGCCTGTGCTGGTCAAAGACGGTTCAATTACAGAGAAGTTGTAAAATAGAATTAATCAACAATTCCCTTCCTTTTATGGCCCAAAATCGTTTGTAGTTTCAGTTGTAAACTACACAAAAAATTGTAAAAAAAAAAAACAAACAAACAAACAAAAAAAACAGTCATAATCCATGGAGGTCACATCTCTTGTTTCGACTGCTGTCCGTGTTATTCATATAAAACTTGACACTATCTAAGTGTTGACACTATGAAGCTGCACTCAACCTCAGACAGATGGCCACAGTAAAAGTTGATATTATGTAACGTTAGTGTTAGCTCAATAATTGCCCACGGGCCATCGATTGTGTCGGACCCTGCTGTTTCCCCTTTGGTGAATGATAATCATGAATTTTTGATCAGCTTTGCTTCCTTCATTGTTGACGTCTAACCGGTGCTTGCTATATTTTATCATCAGGTAAGTGCAAACTATCTTGTTGAGATGCTTAACTCACAGGTGTGTAAATTGACCTTGACTTGAAGCATCCATAGTGCAAAATAATTTAACATTAAATTGTAAAGAGATAAGATGTGGCTCTCCTCCTTCTCCTCCTCTCTTGTATTAAAAAAAAAATGCAGCAGTGGTGGTCACATTTAAGCAGGGGTGTAAAACCGCTGTAAGGTACAAATAGGGGAAACACTGCTATAAAAAGCATATACTTGACTAAGAATTGTGAAACCGTAATAAAATGGCAGAAAGTATAGTGCAACAAGTGATTTAAATCGTACACAGTTTTCTGGACTGGTCCATTTTGACTTAAGTTCAGCTTTTTTATATTCTACCAAAATACATTATCTTACGGTTTGAGAGGTGCATCGGTTCGTCTGTTTCTATCAGCGTTCTTCAGCAGAGACCAGACTCTCCTGTACCCAGCTGTGTGTCCATGAAGAGTGAGAGGTCCATGTCGAAATCTCTTAACTTCAGAGATGATCACCACTCTACTGAAGAACGGTAAGAATTTACACCAGATGAATTTTTTATTCTGCAGCTCTTCTTGGAACAACAAACATGTACTATCGATTAGATTTTAAAGGGCAACTTCCTTTTGAGACTGTGTACGGGTCCGACACTGAATGGCTTTTTTGAACTGGCGTTACTACCAGGAACTGAAATTTATGAAATGGTACGGACATTAAATGTCATTTTACTGACCCACTGAAAAAAGAGAAAGAGAAATAGAAAGTGCACGTGTGGGTGATCAAGAGAGAGGAAACGTTAAAACAGAGGTTTTTGTGTTATCATGAATAAAATAAAGTTTTCACAAATCTGAAACCCTTACATCCTCCCTGATAATCTAGTCCACATTTGACAAACTAAGTATAGTGGGTTTTGATGTTTGTTTTTGTGTTTTCAAAATTAGAATAAATATTAAAATGTTTTAAGCACAGTTTACACAGTTATCAGTGGGTTATTCTTCCAGGATTTGACAAGTTTTAAGTGCAGTGGTTTATGGTCTGATGTGGCCAAATGGGAAGTTTCCCTTTTTGTGTTCTCACAAGTAGAATAAAGATTTCAAGGCTTTGAGTATAATGTCTAACACAGTTTCATACCAGTAAGTGGTGTTAAAAACACACAGGCGGTTGCTCAGTATCAAAAGTTTTCCTTTAACTTGTAGCTAACTTAAGCAGTGTTAGGAAAGAGATACAGTACAAACTGTTTTCATTTATGGCGCCCCGTAGAGGCAGAATAGTGCATAGACTGCATAGTGAAGCTACGCACAAGTGTTTGGAAGCTAGGACTTAGCTTCCAAACACTTGTACTGAGTTTGGTTACAATCGTTTTGGCCGATTTTGATTTCTTTTTGAGTGTTTATGTAAAATTAAACAATGGTTAAAAAATGTATGTTTCAAAACAGACTGATGTATTGAAACCAGCATTTTCTGTAGATGTATCCCAAATTTCGTGAAAATGGAACGAACAACCTCCAACTACAACAAAGAAGGTATTTTTAGAGTAGAGGTCCAATGGAGCAAACATGCTAATGAATGGAGAGACTGACATGAAGACTCTAGACCAAGCCGTTTTCTAATTGCCAAAAAGTAAACTTGATTATTGTAACACCACCTGCCAGTGGATATGGGTAATTTTTGATTTATGATGTGTGCATGTCCATTCTTTACCTCGGCTCCCAGCACTGCTCATTCTGGGTGCCACGCTGTTTTGCATGTGTGGAATTTTGGATTGCTTTGGTGGGACCATTGTCTTTAAGGAACCAGTGAGACAAGAAAAAAGATCCTCGAATTCCAGTTGATCTGTGGTATAGTTCATAGTTGCCAACTATTTCATATTCATCAGTCTTGATTTTAATGGTGGAAATACAATTTTCATGTTACAAAGTAATCCCCATGGGTGTCTGCTTGCATGTATTGCAACAGTGTCCCTTGCCAGATGACTTTGCGTTACCTTGCAGCAAGAGTTGAGCCTGTTTTTTTGACGGACGACCCTGCGTTGTTTTGGAGAAGCAAGCTTTGCGCTTCTTTGATGGACTGGTTCTGTTCAAAGGAATATGAGGTCTGTGTTTTTCATGCAGGGCTTAAGTCTGTCTGAACTTGGCCTTAGGCTCCCTTTGATACAGCAGGTCATAAACCTGGAGTGTATGTTAGTGCACCTAAGTGTGCATGTTTTGCATGTGAGTCCTTCCTGTTGAACCGTTGGCCCACATTTATTCATTTATTTTTTTTGATCAAGGCTTTTTTATTTTCAAACATATCACAAAAAACATGCAACTTGAACATGGTACAGTTAAGTCCACCCCCTCAAAATGCCCTTCCTCCTACTTGTGTGTAAACTTACCAGCAGACATCCATACAAAAATAAATGTAAGTAAACATATGTATTCACAGATTCACATACATAAATAAAGGCATAAATGCAAAATAAATAAATAAAAGTAATAATAATATACATACATATATATATATATATATACAACCTTCAATAGTGTCTTGACTGATGTCAGAACATAACTATAACATCTAATCCATGAAAACGTTCCTAAGAGGAACTTGTAACCATAAATGCAGTATATGTTAAATTTTTTGAGACATCTTTCTGTTTTCTCCGCAGAGTTCAGCAGCAAAGCTTAGAGTTTCTCCATGGTCAGTCTGCACAGCAGCATCTGGCAGACCTGGACTCTGTATTTATGGTGTGTAAATGTCCAACAGCAACTTATACTTGATTCATTTTGGTCACAGTTGCCTGTGTACTGCAATCTTCAGACAAATGTAGCTTTCACAACATGAGAGGGGTGTTTCCATGCTCAGGACTGTTATTCTTTTCCAGCATCTTGAGGAGAACATTGTCACTTTTATGAAGACTGAGCTGAAGAAGTTCCAGAAGGTTCTGAGTCCAGATTACCCAGAATGCTGGAGGAGGCAGAATGGGGATAAGGAAGAGGGAGAGCAGAGCACCAGAGAAGCATTTCTGGAGATCACCTTATACTTCCTGAGGAGAATGAAGCAGGATGATCTGGCTGAAAGTCTGCAGAGCAGTAAGAGTCGTTCCACCATCAGCTTTCTCACATTTACACTAACATCCACTCACTGCTGTTGTTTGTTTTGTTAATTCAGGAACTACTGCTGCAGTTTGTCAACGTCAACTCAAATCTAGCCTGAAGAAGAAGTTCCAGTGTGTGTTTGAGGGGATCGCTAAAGCAGGAAACCCAACCCTTCTGAACCAGATCTACACAGAGCTCTACATCACAGAGGGAGGGACTGGAGAGGTCAATGATGAACATGAGGTCAGACAGATTGAAACAGCATCCAGGAAACCAGTCAGACCAGAAACAACCATCAGACAAGAAGACATCTTTAAAGCCTCACCTGGAAGAGACGGACCAATCAGAACAGTGATGACAAAGGGAGTGGCTGGCATTGGGAAAACAGTCTTAACACAGAAGTTCACTCTGGACTGGGCTGAAGACAAAGCCAACCAGGACATACAGTTCACATTTCCATTCACCTTCAGAGAGCTGAATTTGCTGAAAGAGAGAAAGTTCAGCTTGGTGGAACTTGTTCATCACTTCTTTACTGAAACCAAAGAAGCAGGAATCTGCAGGTTTGATCAGTTCCAGGTCGTGTTCATCTTTGACGGTCTGGATGAGTGTCGACTTCCTCTGGACTTCCACAACACTGAGATCCTGACTGATGTTACAGAGTCCACCTCAGTGGACGTGCTGCTGACAAACCTCATCAGGGGGAAACTGCTTCCCTCTGCTCGCCTCTGGATAACCACACGACCTGCAGCAGCCAATCAGATCCCTCCTGAGTGTGTTGACATGGTGACAGAGGTCAGAGGGTTCACTGACCCACAGAAGGAGGAGTACTTCAGGAAGAGGTTCAGAGATGAGGAGCAGGCCAGCAGCATCATCTCCCACATCAAGACATCACGAAGCCTCCACATCATGTGCCACATCCCAGTCTTCTGCTGGATCACTGCTACAGTTCTGGAGGAGGTGTTGAAAACCAGAGAGGGAGGAGAGCTGCCCAAGACCCTGACTGAGATGTACATCCACTTCCTGGTGGTTCAGTCCAAACTGAAGAAGGTCAAGTATGATGGAGGATCTGAGACAGATCCACACTGGAGTCCAGAGAGCAGGAAGATGATTGAGTCTCTGGGAAAACTGGCTTTTGAGCAGCTGCAGAAAGGAAACCTGATCTTCTATGAATCAGACCTGACAGAGTGTGGCATCGATATCAGAGCAGCCTCAGAGTACTCAGGAGTGTTCACACAGATCTTTAAAGAGGAGAGAGGCCTGTACCAGGACAAGGTGTTCTGCTTCGTCCATCTGAGTGTTCAGGAGTTTCTGGCTGCTCTTCATGTCCATCTGACCTTCATCAACTCTGGAGTCAATCTGCTGTCAGAAGAACAATCAACCTCCTGGTGGTCTAAACTGTTCAGAAACAAACCTGAACCAACACTCTTCTACCAGAGAGCTGTGGACGAGGCCTTACAGAGTCCAAATGGACACCTGGACTTGTTCCTTCGCTTCCTCCTGGGTCTTTCACTGCAGACCAATCAGACTCTCCTACGAGGTCTGATGACACAGACAGGAAGTGGCTCACAGACCAATCAGGAAACAGTGAACTACATCAAGAAGGAGATCAATGAGAATCCGTTTCCAGAGAGAAGCATCAACCTGTTCCACTGTCTGAATGAACTGAATGATCGTTCTCTAGTGGAGCAGATCCAACAGTCCCTGAGATCAGGACGTCTCTCCACAGATAAACTGTCTCCTGCTCAATGGTCAGCTCTGGTCTTCATCTTACTGTCCTCGGAAGAAGATCTGGACGTGTTTGACCTGAACAAATACTCTGGTTCAGAGGAGGCTCTTCTGAGGCTGCTGCCAGTGGTCAAAGCCTCCAACAAAGCTGTGTAAGTGTAGACATTAACAGTATCATGTGTATCATGTGTAGGGTTGTCAGTGAATGAAAGTCTTACATAACTGATATTCATCAGATTTAGTGAACTTATTGATCTGTTCATCAACTGAACAATTTATTTAGTTGTGTCATCATTATCATCCGCTGTTCACACATAAACATGTAGCCATAAGAAACAAAAACAATCAAAAAACAGGTCCAGTATAGTTTTATATTTACAGAAATAATCTTTCTTTAGTGTTATTCAACTACCGCAGATTAATGTAGCCATGTAAAATTAACTGAAAATAACTAGTTTATTTTTAGTATAATATGGACAGTTTTTGGGCGCCCCACAATATACAGTAGATTCTTTTGATGACCACGTCATTTGTTTAAATTATTGTGATCTGAGGTCTGTGATTATAATTTTGCAAGTAATAAGTTGTTGCCTTGTGTAATCTTACCTCCTTTTTACAAAGAATCACTCATCTTAAATTCTTCATATACTTAATAGATTCATCATCAGAGAGAAGGGAAAAAAATGTTTTACACTGAAAACAACAAAGTTTTTTCTCTATCACTAACTCTCCTTCAGGCTGAGTGGCTGTAATCTGTCAGAGAGAAGCTGTGGAGCTCTGAGCTCAGTTCTCAGCTCCCAGTCCTCTAGACTGAGAGAACTGGACCTGAGTAACAACAACCTGCAGGATTCAGGAATGAAGCTGCTCTCTGCTGGACTGAAGAGTACAAACTGTACACTAAAGACTGTCAGGTCAGATAATACTTAAATATTTTTGTTTAAAAGTGTTGTTCCTTAAATGTTAGCCAGTGATTTTTGTCATACGTTTTATAGTTTCTCCAGTGTTTAAAATAGGGTTGTGACAGTATGGATACTTTCATATTGTGGGGAAAAAGTAACCTATGAAATCCATTAAATTTTTACTGGAGCTGTGTGTGCTCTTTGTGTGCCTGTCTGCAATAAGAGCATACCAGTGTGCTATGTTAGATCAGCATCCCCCTATACCATCTCAATGAGAGATAGGTGACAGTCAATGATAACTATGTTTATTTTTCATATCATACACCACACTCATTCCTTTAACTTTCACCAGTAGGGCTGTCCTAAACGATTATTCTTTAAACGATTAATCTAGCGATTATTTTTTCGATTATTCGACTAATCTAACGATTTTTTTTTTCATTAACCTAACAGTAATTTCGCTGCACCAGGGTGTTTCCTCTTTATGTGCTCGTGCATGACTGTCGTGCTAGAGTGATATGCCACATGCACTTTGCAGAGTCTGCAGAATACCGCACTGTTGTACGCATCAGACCAGTCCCAGCCTGGTCAGATGCGTACACGAACTGATGAAGCCTCTTGGATGAGAGGTGAAACGTCTTCCCAGACAAATAATCAAGTCCAGTTACATTTTGATTTAAAACTCCTTTAGGATACCGCACTGTTGGTGTCAAGATTAAAGTATTCCCAAACTTTGGAGGACCGTGTGCGAGCCTTTTTTGCTGCGTGTTGCTCCACACGCTCCGTCGTACTGCTGGTAGACGCCACCATGTTGTTCAAATAGATCACACAGACGCAAATCATTCACGTAGTCTATGACTTCAATTATGTCACCACGTTGTCCCAGCCCTTGCGCTGTGCTTGTATCTGGGTGAACCAAAGATGATGATGAACCCTCTCATGCAATTTATCTGGATGGCTAAATACTTAAGCCATGAAAAGAAATAATATTTATTGTTTGTTTATTTATCAGATTAAGTCAAACTGGGCTCACAAAGAAATGCTGTCAGGGTCTCTCAGCAGTTCTCAGCTCCAAGTCCTCTAGTCTGAGGGAGCTGGACCTGAGTAACAACAAACTGCAAGATTCAGGCTTGAAGCTGCTATCTACTGGACTGGAGAGTTCACATTGCACGCTGGAGACTCTCAGGTCAGGGTTTAGCTTTTTCTTTAATCAGTCACTAGTACTTAGCTCAGAGGCATCCCATGAAAGTTACTTTTTTCATTGTTCAAAGTAAACTATGTCAGTGTTTTACCACTAATTCTCCTTCAGGTTGAATGGCTGTAATCTATCAGAGAGAACATGTTCTTGTCACCCAGGACCTTAACGCATGATTGCTTGACTCATGAACACAGTGAGACCAACCATATGAATGTGATTAATTTACCACTAACTCTCCTTCAGGCTGAGCGGCTGTAATCTGTCAGAGAGAAGCAGTGAAGCTCTGTCGTCAGTTCTCGGCTCCCAGTCCTCTAGACTGAGAGAACTGGACCTGAGTAAGAACAGCTTGCAGGATTCAGGGGTGAAGCTGCTCTCTGCTGGACTTAAGCACTCATACTGTAAACTGGAAGTTCTCAGGTTAGATCACACTAATCACACTGTGATACATTTCTGTAACACTATGTTGTTCTTGCTTCATTAAATATGAGCCCTTTCTCAATCTGCGTTCTATCTGTACTTGTGTTCTCGTGGACTTGTGAAATGTCACCAGTATTGTTCCAATTCAAAGTTTGCAGCTTTCCAAGTGCAGATCAAATATATGAAAGTGCTCATGCCCCCCCCCCCCCCCTTATATTGAGGATACATTGGTATGTGACTTGTGTGGACTCCAAAGAAACAGTTAAGACTTCAAATATGTGATCAGTTTATCCAAATAACGCCTGTTTGGAAATTTGCTTGAGCGTTTTCAGAGATGTGAGAACCGTCTTGCTGGGGGAGATAAGGGGCCGGTCAGTGAGGGCTGTCACCCCGGTAGAAAAAGTGTTATTTCTGCAAGCCCTTTGGTAATTTACCGATGGATCTGTTCTCTATAGTGTTTTGATATCTGATAAAAATCCTTTTGGAAGATGAAATGTGATCTGAGTTGAAATATAATATTTGTTGCTGCTCGTTAGTGTGAGAAGATGAAACAAAGTATTTGATTTGCTGGACACTTTAACAGCAGCTCTGCCTCTGTGAGCTTCTGTGTACAAATATACCACCACATTTCAATAAAAATAAATATGTATATATGAAGACGAACAGAGGCAGTGTGCTTCATACTAAATGTGGTTAGATTTTGAATATATATTACAGATTGAATATGAAGTGTCAATTCCATTTTTCTGCCTGTGGAGATTTGAGTTTAGAGTTTCATGTCACAGTTCAGTCAGGTACAGGTGTGTTGAAGTGTAACCTGTGCTGAGCTGAGCTGTCGTTCCAATTGCAAATACTCCTCCTGTCCTCTAGAGTCCAGATGTCGTCTGAGTTGAACTTGTGAAGTTCGAATTCCAAAGTATGGCAGTCTGGACTTGACCTTTGCCCTCTGAGTTGCTCTGACTTGATAAAAATAGCCAAGATCATTCAAATTAGTGCCAATGATCTTTTGGCAAAGGTTAATAATGTTTCCCAGCCTATTTTTGTGAACCATGCTAGGCTCAAAATCCCTCAGCTTTCTCAAGAAGCGGAGAACTTGTTTTTAAACTGCATTTTAGCCACTTTTATTTCTTTTTTCACCAACTTTTTAGCATCTCTTTGTTGCTGAATGTCCCCCTGGAGAAAAGCCAGCTTTTTGTGATTGAGAGTATGCTTGAGGGATTTACTGACCCAGGGCTTATTATTTGGGTACAATGTAATTGTCTTCCTGGGGATAAACATTTGTAAGGTAATGTAGCTTGACATGTTGGAAGCCAGTTCATCTAAATCATTTTTCAAAATTATCCCAGTTAGAACTGTGGAAACAGCCATTCAGTTCAAAAATGCTGACTTCTGTCCACACAGCTCTTTTTGCGCTCCACTCTCCCATAGTGACTGCCGGTTGATTAACTGGGGCTAGAAAGACCCAGTTATGGTCAGAAGAGCGTAGTGGCGCCATTGCATAAGATATATATGCCTCCTTTATGGTGCCATAGCACGTCCAGCACTTAACCATATCTTGTTGAGGAGGAGGAGGTTTTCCTTACACCTCTCTTGGTGCTATTGTTCAAGTGTAGGTCTTGGAATGTAACTTTGTACATAATCCCGGATCATCTCTGCTCTAAGAGTGGCGGGAGAGGACTGGAGAACAGAGTTTCAGCCATGCCAGGCGTAAATTATTTCAATTGTAGTTGTCAAGTCACTCAAACAAACAGTCATTTGTATTGTTGCCTGGAGAAGTTTGGATACCTTTTGAGATAAGATTCTAATTTTCTTATTCTCAACTCAGCATTTGACACAGTTGTTCATTCTGTTCTACTGGATTGTCTTGAAAAGTGTGTTGGCATCACAGACCCTGGCCTAGACTGGTTCAGATCTTATTAATCAAACAGAACTTTTTCAACAGTGCTTGGTGATGCCTTTTTCTTTCTTTCCCTTATCCATCCTGGGTCATATCTTGTTCTGTTACCTGCCTCAGGGACATACCATACATAAATACAATCACTACCAATTTTATGCAGATTTTATGCAGATTTGTCTCTTTTAAGAAAGTGTGTTGTGGTTCTGTTATGTTTACAGTAGATATTATTGAGCGTCAGAGATATGGAAAATCAGATGGAAATGAGCCAAAAACAGCTGCTGGGAAGGACATTTTTTTTATTTGTTACTATTTATTGATTTTTATCAGGTTGCGTCAAACCGGGATCACAAAGAAAAGCCTTCAGGAGTTGTCATTGTTTCTCAAATCCCAGTCCTCTTGTCTGAGAGACCTGGACGTGAGTTACAAAGACCTGCTGGATTCAGGAACGGAAATTCCCAGGTGAGCATCAGCTTTTGTAATCAATACACAAATGAGTAATTATCTGAGTATTTGGCTCAGAGAGGACATTCCTTAAAATGTGGAACTTTTTACATTTTAGAAAACAGAACTCTCCAAAAATCAGAAAGAATCACAATATGTGAAGTGTGTCAGAGGAAAGCACAATTTGATAAAAAATGAAAACTGCTGCACACTGCTTCACTTACTGCTGTAATATTTATTGATTTGCAACGTTTGTCTATTTGAACTCAATCAGGTATCAGATACAGGTACCTCCTGAAGTTCGAACAGACAGAAATGTAAATTCGAAAAAGGTGAGACTACTTGTGTTATTATTCATCACTAAATCTTCTTCAGGTGGAGTGCCTCTAATCAGTCAGAGAGAAGCTGTGAAGCCGAGGCTGCAGTTTTAATCTACCCCACACTGAGAGCCCTGCAGGATTTAGAAGTGAAGCTGCTCTCTGCTGGACAGAGAAGTCCTTGGTGTACACAGCTAGATCTCAGGTGAGATGACACTGTTATGCTTAATCATAACACTCTGTTGTTTTTCAAATGTTAAATGCCGTGTAGACCAGTTTTTCTTAGCAAATATACAGCTACTAGAGAAGGGAATTACAAAATTCATACAGGATTATTTCTGTGATGCCTACAATGTGCTTAACATTGACCATGTGTTCCCTGGGGTGTGGACACTGCTGAATACAATTTGGTTACATGTAACCGGAAGACATTTTCTTGTACTGTTTTTCTGCTAACTGTGAATACTGAAAATATGTGCAACCTAAACCTCATTTAAAGTGAAAGGTGTCTAGAAAAGGAGTCTGGTTGTTTTTCTCCATTATTGTGCTGTAAACTTGAAATCTTTGTCCAGCATGCACTGTGTCAAAATAGCAGATGTGTATAAACAACAGCACCCATACTAATGCACACAGATAACGTGCCACAACGTAACTCAACTTGATTCACAAGTTTTTCATCCAACATTGCTCATTCTAAGCTCTACAATGATATCCCTGTAAATGTGTTTGTTATTAGCTTCAACAGATCAAGAAATTATATCATGATTAGAGCCCGACCGATATTGGAATTTTGGGGCAGATGCCAATACCGATATTAAGGAGTAAAAACATTCTGACATACTATATCAGAATTTTTTCATATAACTTGTGAAAAAGATAGGTAATGACAGCAGGATATTGCAGTTTAACAATAAACTTTATTGTCCAAAACGACATCAGTGCACTAAAACTGTAAACTTTACTGGGAATTAAATAAAATAGGTATAAAAATAAATAACTATGAATAAAAAACATAAGAATAAATACATGTATAAATGTATTTAACTTGAATTAAAACAAAGGATCAAATATACAAAAAATGCTGCCTATATAACTTGACTGACCCAAGCATTTCCACTGCATTATTGCTTCTTAATAGTGTTAATATCAGCAAATATCAGAGAATTTATCGGCTGACCCATATATTGGTCGGGCTTTAATCATGATATATGATTAAATTAGGTGATTCTGTAGAATAAATAAATACATAAATAAAAACATTATTTATTATTTATATTAACCATTTTACCCATTTTGTAGAGGTTTTCATAGATACTTTGTTGTAGTTTTGGACAAGAGGCATGGGAAACAGGGAATGTAAAATCTATAGTTTTTTGTCCGTAAAGCAATTTGAATCACACTGACATGTATGAAAGTTGCAATATAAATAAAGTTTGATAAATTACACCCAGCTGAAAAAGTAACAAGGTGGACCTGTTTGACGTTACTTACGTTACTTGTGTAGATCTGAAATGGAAGGGACAGGGCAGACGGAGACATCGCAAACAAGGTTTATGTAGATTGTTAATGGTGAAGTTTTTTAATGGCTTAGTTTTCCTGTCTATTTATAGTCTTTTTTGATACATTGCCTTGTGTTTGTTTTATATTTTTTCTTAATGGCTGTACAAATAAACTTTACTTTAACTTGATTTCAGGGAGAAACATGAAGAGGAGAGGTTGAGATCTCGTCTGACAATGTGTAAGTGTGGATATATTTAATGCAAAAGGAATGATAACTTCCTAAAACAGCTGCTCACTGTAGTTTTTATCAAAGGTTATGCAAACAGGAAGAAATAGTGTATTTAATGGTGAATTATTCAGCATAGAATTACTCCACATTTGCTTAATGAATGGTCCATTTACATGAGCCATTACAGGGGCACAGGTATAGTGCATACTCACTCACTGACATGACTTAATGGAATGGAGCCACAGTCAAGATCAGTATTTACATTGACATAGAGCCGCAAAGTGCTCAGTGTTAGATAAATAAATAATAATAAAATAGATAATTGCATGGGTAAAATTTGTGAAATATAAAAATCAGAATAATAATGTAAGAATTTACTGAAACTCAACTCATCATTATGAAATATTTCATAATCATTATTTTCCTAGTATTTTATTGTTTATTTTTATTTAATAATAGATTTTTTTATTTTGATAGAAAAATTATAACCAACAAAGTTCTATTATGATAAAGAATGATGAAATGATATTTCATGCTAATAAGTTTAATTTCAATAATAATAATAATAATTTCAATCAGTTATTTTAATAAATTGTTGTTTCATTTATATATTTAACACAATTTATTCATTATTATTTATATCTTATCTTTATCTCTTTTCTTTATTTATTGATTTCATACTGAACAGTTTGGGGTTCCATATTTGAAAAGTCAAAATGTCTGTCATGAAAATATCTATTGCGTTCTCTCCCTCAGATGCCTGTGAACTCACACTGGACATAAACACAATAAACAGAAACTTCAAACTGTCTGACAACAGGACGGTGACAGTGACGGAGGGGCAGCTGTATCCTGATCATCGAGACAGATACTGGCCACTGCTGTGTAGAAATGGTCTGACTGGTCGCTGTTACTGGGAGGTTGAGTGCAAAGGAAGAGTTTATATAGCACTGACTTACAGAGAGGTCGGAAGGAGAGGAGACAGTGCTGCCTGCAGGTTTGGACGAAATAATCAGTCCTGGAGTTTCTTCTGCTCTGACAATTATGGTTACGCTTTCTGGCACAGTGGCGTGAAAACAGACATCCCTCCCCCGTCCTCCTCCTCCTCCTCTGTCTCTAACAGAGTCCGCCTGTCCTCCTCCTCTGTCTCTAGAAGAGTAGGAGTATTTGTGGACTATCCAGCTGGCACACTGTCCTTCTACAGGGTCTCCTCTAACACACGGCTCCTCCTCCACACCGTCAACACCACATTCACTCAACCTCTTTACCCTGGGTTTGAGCTGCAATCTGGTTCCTCAGTGTCCCTGTGTTCAGTGTTGGAGGGATGGTCTCCTCCTGTGTAAAGAAACATTAAACTGCTCACAAACCTACACAAAGACTATATATATATATATATATATATATATATATATATGTACACATATATATGTGTGTGTGTGTGTGTGTGTGTGTGAGAGAAGTTGAACATGAGAGAACTTGAACATGATACTAGCTGCTTGTTTAAATGCTGCTAGGATTAAATGCAGTTACTGGGAGCAGATTGAATCAGATATATTACAGAGACACAAAGTGGCAGCAAATGAGGTTTCTACATTTTTATATCTATGTTGGTTACCTGAACAAACTTCTCATACTATTTAAATGGCTGTAACAGAAATATGTTGATGAGCAGATCTTTGTATTTTTAGCATCACATGTTCTTTACAAAACATATGGGTAGCTGGTGGTGGTAATGTGCCTAAAGATGCAGCAGTGTGCTGATAAAAGAGAAGAAGACTAAGATTTAGAAAAAAAATCATTATAAAAGAAAGTTTTTGTAATTGTTTTATGAAGTTAAATCTGTCTAGTAACATGTACATTTTATATCACTTATTTTTGGTATTTTTTGCATTTTTTTAACATTGAAAATAACTTTGAATATGGGTTTTAGATGAAGTTAGATTTTTCCTTTAAAAATTAAAAACAAACAGTTACACAAATAAGTACTATATTTTCAGTAAGATCTTATTGCCCAAAAGCATGTGTGAAAATGTAAAAAGATAACTAACTAACTAAATAAAGTAAATATGAATATTATTTCAACTCCATCGATCATCTTATTGTGTTATTATGTATCAGTTTTATTCTTTTATTAATGGAAGAAAATTAACCAGTGATATAATTGAATTGCACGGGGCTGCTTCCCCAAATCTGCAGGGGCTCCAACGGATGTTGTCACTTCTCTTGTCAAACTTTCACTTTCAAAACCTCTTCGTGACGCATTCCACCTGCTAAAAACGATGGTGAATGTTTGTTTTTAATGTAAGTTTTCTGTCTTTTCTTCTGAAATCACTTGTGTTATGTGACTGTTTCAGCCTTTTGTTCGTGTTCACACCGTTTGTGTAAATAAAACTGTTTAACGTTGAGACATGTCCAGGCTGTTTGACCACAGGTTCGACCACTCGATGGCTTTCTTGTAGGTTGTCTCAAACCAGACTGACAGATGATGGCTGTGAGCAGATCTCATCAGTTCTCAGATCCCAGTCCTTTAGACTGAGAGAACTGGACCCGAGTAATAACGACCTGCAGGATTCAGATTTGAAACTGCTCTTTCCTGGACTGAAAAGTCCAAACTGTAAACTGGAGACTCTCAGGTCAGGCTTCAGTTTCTTCAATCAAAACCCTAATGAGTGATGGCTTTTCTAACTTGACTCAGTGAAATCAAGAAGTGTGATGCTTTGTGAATCATAGAAACGGTGTCACAGTCCTGTATCACTAACGTTCCTCCAGGTTGAGTGGCTGTAATCTGTCAGAGAGAAGCTGTGAAGCTCTGGCCTCAGTTCTCAGCTCCCAGTCCTTTAGACTTAGAGAACTGGACCTGAGTAACAACAACCTGCAGGATTCAGGGGTGAAGCTGCTGTCTGCTGGTCTGAAGAGTCCACACTGTGCACTGGAGACTCTCAGGTCAGGATTTAACCAGTTAACCAGTGATTCAACAATGATATAGGTTACAAGCTGAAAGAAAAGTTAGTTGTCTAAGTGTGTTTGTGTCTATGTCTATGTCTACAGGGTGTCAGGCTGTCTTGTCACTGAGGAAGGTTGTTCTTCTCTGGTCTCGGCTCTAAGGTCCAACCCCTCCCATCTGAGAGAGCTGGACCTGAGCTACAATCATCCAGGAGACTCAGGAGTGAAGCTGCTGTCTGCAGAACTGGAGGATCCACAGTGTAGACTAGAGACTTTCAGGTATGAACAGACATTAACAGCTCACGCTGCTTCTCTATCAGCCCAACATTTCTTCTCATGAACGGGTTGTTTCAGTGATGCTGATAAGATTTTGGTTGGGGTGTGTGCTGTCCTGAAAAGTGTAAGTGTGTCCTCACTTTGATTCATGGAAACAAGACAGCGCATATTAAATATGTCTAAATAAAAAACTTGTGTATCTGCAGTCAACTCTCGGTTTGAAAGATCCAAAAAGTTGAATCCTTGAGAGGTTTTTATTTTAGTAACCAACAATGAATCCATCAGTTGTCTTGACGATAAACTGCTGCCGTCTTGTTCTCTCCATCAGACGCCTGTGAACTCACACTGGACACAAACACAGTGAACAAAAACCTCAAACTGTTTGACAACAACCAGACGGTGACAACAGTAAAGGAGCAACAGCCGTATCCTGATCATCCGCACAGGTTTGCCAACTGGCAGCTGCTGCGTGAAGATGGTCTGACTGGTCGCCACTACTGGGAGGTGGAGTGGACAGGAAAGGTTGATGTAGCAGTGGCTTATAGAAACAACAGAAGGAGAGGATGCAGGGATCACTGCAAATTTGGAGTGAACGGTCGGTCCTGGAGTCTCCTCTGCTCTGATGGTGATCGTTACACTGTGTGGCACAATAACAGAAGAACAGACCTCCCTCCTTCCTCCTCCTCCTCCCCCCCCCCTCTGTCTCTAACAGAGTAGCAGTGTATGTGGACTGTCCTACTGGCTCTCTGTCCTTCTACAGAGTCTCCTCTGACTCGCTGATCCACCTCCACACCTTCAGCACCACCTTCACTCAACCTGTCTATCCTGCATCTGGGTTCTGGGGCTTTGGTTCGTCAGTGTCTCTGTGTTCACCGGAGGAAGCTGGTTCTCTTGTTTAGAAAAACTCAACCAATCAAAAACCTACACGATGTCCGTGTGAGATGGACAGCACTTCCTGTGTAGATAAACCTTTATTCTCACAGGCATCTTCATAGTTACAAAACAAATCACTTCGAACTGCTCGACAGTTTCTGTTCCAAACACATTTAAATCAACCTGATGGCCAAAAACATTTGTGTGGTGACTGTCTTTATGTGTAGAAATGTAAAAATCAAGGTTATATCTAAACAAATATTCCAGTCATTTCACTGTGTACATTTGTTTTAAATGGGAGGAAATACATCTGTGATGAATTTAAATAGTTAAACAGGAACTCATATTCAGTGATTTTATTTTTAGTCATATTTAATATCTGATTTTACTGTGTCAGGTCTGAGCAGCAGCCATCCTCTTTTTTCTGATTTGGTCTGAAACACATGATGATGAACTGACCTGCTCTCCACAAAATCTTTAGGATCATCAACAGCTGCTAAAGGTCAGTGAAGGGAGTGAAAGGTTGTTTAGTGTAACGATAAACAGTTTGTTGTGAGACAATCAGAAAACTGAAGTCACAAACTGTGTAGGTTACCTTTAGAGTCTGAATACAGGTGCTCCTCCACCCTGTGCAGATGGTGTGGTAATGTGCTCCATCTAGTGGACTGATAGCAGAACTACATCAGCAAACAGGCAAGGAGGAGGGACTGCAGCCATTTTCTCTACACAGTTTGTGTGTAATGACGTCAAGCTGGGTGAATTTACATCTTGTTCTCAAACTGAAAGCAAAATGATCAGGTTTATTATTACATTACATCGTCCCACCAGGAGATTCATCACTGTTTCTACTATTAGATACCAGAAAAGATTCTTTCGGTGCAAATAAACTCCTTTCTTGAAGAAAACAATTACCGGAGTGATTCTAGTTTCAGTCAGGCTTTAGAACAAACCACAGAACTCAACACAGCTCTGACTAAAGTAATCAGCAACCTCACACTAAACTGATGAAAGTAAGGTCTTGGTTCTTGTCTTCAGTGCAGTGTCGATACGACACGGCATCCTAGGTTGGTCGGTCTTTTTGTGTGTTAAACTAGTTCAAAACATACAACAGAGGGAAAAAATTCAAAGTTAAATGAGAACAAAACTGAAATGATACTAGTGGGCCCCAAGACAAAAAGAAAAATACTGTTTAATAACCTGAGGAAATTAACTCCCTGGATTAAATCTGAGGTTACTTGTCTCGGAATTATCTCAGAATTAGATCTAAATTTCAAGTCCCACAGCAACCGGCAGTTTTTTTAAAAGTCAGTTCAATTTACAGAAACTCTGTGATTGATAAATTCTGTTACATCAGCTGACTGCATCTTTGTCTGACCACATGTTTAAAACCTGGATCTGAGAGACCACATCAGCTGGTAAAGGTAAACAACAACAAGAGTTAACTGAACACAAAGACAAAATATGCAGTTGTGTTGATGTCATGTGTCAATGTCCTGTGCATTTTTTTCAGGAACTCGCATGAAAAGTGGAACCTGAAAAGCAGAAGTGGGAACTTCACTTTTTTCCTCATTTCCTTACTCCCCATTTGCTTTAACTGATTTAAATGCAGCAGCTGGACTCGTGTTATGTTCTCCAAAACTCCAGGGACAGGTAAGAGTCTTCGTCTTTTTATACATGATGATGATTGTCAGATGCTACTTCCACATCTGGATCAATTCTGTGGCACAAACAGAAAATCAGATGTTTTCCTCCAGGTTGACATTACGTCCTGATTTTAGCAGGGAGCCACAATGTTGCCAGAGGACCTTCTGATGTCTCTGGAGGATTTAAGAGACAAGGAATTCAAGGACTTCAAATGGTATCTGCAGCAGCCGGACATCATGGGAGGTTACCACACCATCAAAGTGTCCAAGCTGGAGAAGGCAGAGCGGCGGGACACAGTGGATCTGATGGTGCAGACCTGTGGATTTCATGGAGCTCTGGAGGTGACCAGGAAGGTTTTAGAGAAGATAAACAGGAACGATCTGGTGCAGAGTCTGTCGGACACCAGCTCAGCAACAGAAGGTCAGTCAGTCATACTCTCTCTTTCCTGCAAGAGTGGGTTGACACGTGCAACACAATCCTCAAAATGAAATGATACATGTACAAACTAACAGCAAAAAAAGTAAAAGTAAAGAATGTATAGGTTACAAATATACTGTCATTTGACAATTATTGATTAAAAAAAGCTTTGATATTTGGCTTTTGCCAGGAGGCACCAGTGAAAACTGAATTCGCATCGAACTCGCAAAAATACCTGTAGAAAATATTTGATGGTTGATTTTGGGCCAGAACTGATCACATTATCAAACATAATTATCGGCTGAAATTTCATCATTGGAACAAAAACAATAATTTAACTTTCAGCCACCGATATATTCTGCATCTGTATTGATCGCAGCAGTACATGGTTTTAGTGCTTTTCCAGTTTTTTGTGATTTATCAATAAAAATAGAAACAAACTCTCATTGAAGTGATAAGTCTAATATAACAGATGATCTCTGTGTGTCTCAGTGAATGTCAGTGACGTCGGAGAGAACAGACGATCGTCCTCCTCTCAGACTGAAGGTAAAGCTGCTCTGGTCTCTGGCGTGTTATTATTACATCAATTCATTATTATTACTAGCAGTTATATAGCTGACAAATGTGATAGAAATGTATATTAATTAATTGCAGGCCTCATTTCTACTTGTCGTTCTTAGACCAGTGAAAAAAGTACAACATTTCATTCTATGTAGCATTATAAAGGTCTTTTGATGAGTCAAAATCACTTTAATACAAAGAGCAAACAAACTAGTTCTTGTGTAAATCTTTTGTGATTACAATAAATTTGCACCTATCAACAGGTAGATGAAGTATGAATGCTAACTGAGTTACCTGAGAAAAGATTAATACTTAAAGTTAGTGAGGACTTCACATCCACAATGAGGGATGACTTTAGGAACTGCTGCAACTCAATAAAAACTAGATTCTGAGAGTAAAGAAAAATAAGTAATAATATTTGACAGTTAAATTTCAAATATTCCGACAAAAATGTATTTTATTTTGAAAAATTACTGAACATTTTTTGAGTAAACTCGTACAACAAACAACAAGAAGAGGATGTTAATCTGTCATCCTGTGTGACAACATGAGGGAAGTGATGACATTATACTATTACATCAGTTTCATTTCAATGAGGAAATAAATTTCATCGTCAGCACAAGACGGTTATGCATTTTGCAACGAGAAAAGAGGCGTGCTAAGCCTCATTTATTTATTTACTTATCTCACACAGATGTGATTGTTCCAGTACCAGAGCCACAACCCATTTCATTTTACCAACAACTGCTTCAATCAAACCTCCAGGATACGTTTATGTGTGCACGGGAGGGGTGGGCACAGAAGAAGGATGAGCAGCGTCTGGATGATATCTACACACAGGTGTACATCACAGCTGGGGGCGACACACACATCAACACACAGCACGAGGTCAGGCTAATTGAGAACGCTGAGAAACCAGCAGAAATAGAAAAACCAATCAAACCTAATGAGATGTTCAAACACCCCACTGGAAGATATAAACCCATCAGAACAGTGCTGACCAGTGGGATTGCGGGAATTGGCAAAACATTTCTTGTGCGCAAGTTTGTGTTGGACGTGGTTGAAGGGAGAGCCAATCAAGACGTGCAGCTCATCTTCCTGTTTACTTTCCGCCAATTAAATTTATGGAGGGGACAAAAGTTTTGTTTGGCAGAGCTCATTCATGAATGTATCAGAGAGACCAGAGACATCAAGGAGGAAGCTCTTAATCACATCTTCACAACTCTGCAGTCGTCAGGAAACACCAACTACGACAAGAGTAAATTCAAACTCATGTTTGTTTTGGATGGTCTGGACGAGAGCCGCCTAGAACTGGACTGCTCCACCAGTAAAAACCAGAACCCAGACTTTGATGTGACCGCGTCGACTTCAGTGGACGTGCTGCTGACAAACCTCATCAAGAGGAATCTGCTTCCCTCCGCTCGCCTCTGGATAACCACACGACCTGCAGCAGCCAATCAGATCCACTCTGACTTCATTGACGTGGTGACAGAGGTCAGAGGGTTCACTGACCCACAGAAGGAGGAGTACTTCAGGAAGAGGTTCAGAGATGAGGAGCAGGCCAGCAGGATCATCTCCCACATCAAGACATCACGAAGCCTCCACATCATGTGCCACATCCCAGTCTTCTGCTGGATCACTGCTACAGTTCTGGAGGAGGTGTTGGAAACCAGAGAGGGAGGAGAGCTGCCCAAGACCCTGACTGAGATGTATGCAGAGTTCCTGGGGTTTCAGATTCATCAGACAAAACAGAGACATGACCAAAAAAAGTGCATTCAGTACATTAATTCATTGGCAAAACTCGCTTTCCACGAGCTGGAAAAGGGCAACTTGATCTTCTATGAGAAGGACCTAATAGAGAGCGGCGTTGATGTGAGCGGAGCGTCGTTGTGCTCAGGAGTGTTCACAGAGATATTTAAAGAGGAACGTGGGAGGAGGAATGACGCAGACAAGATGTTCAGCTTCATCCATCTAAGTGTTCAGGAGTTTTTGGCAGCTCTCTATGTGGAGACGGGGCTCCTTAACAGAAACAAGAATGTTTTGTCTGAGCTGGGGCAAACGTGTGGTGAACAGGTGAGAATGATTTTCAGCAGATCATCTATGACAAAAGTCCACGCGTTTGCTATCGACAAGGCATTGGAGAGTCCGAACGGACACCTGGACCTGTTCCTCCGCTTCCTCCTGGGTCTTTCGCTGCAGACCAATCAGACTCTCCTACGAGGTCTGCTTAAAAAGCAAAGAAGATCACAGACCAATCAGGAAACAGTGAAGTACATCAAGAAGGAGATCAATGAGAATCCGTCTCCAGAGAGAAGCATCAACCTGTTCCACTGTCTGAATGAACTGAATGATCGTTCTCTAGTGGAGCAGATCCAACAGTCCCTGAGATCAGGACGTCTCTCCACAGATAAACTGTCTCCTGCTCAATGGTCAGCTCTGGTCTTCATCTTACTGTCCTCAGAAGAAGATCTGGACGTGTTTGACCTGAACAAATACTCAGCTTCAGAGGAGGCTCTTCTGAGGCTGCTGCCAGTGGTCAAAGCCTCTAACAGAGCTCTGTAGGTCCACAGATAACTGTAGATACTAACAGTATCACATGTAGGGTTGTTTTCAATTAATGAAACACTTAGTCAACTGACAAGATGATTAATTAGTCGATTAATTGAACTTTCAAATTGTTTCTTCAGTGTGATTGTATCTCTACAGATTAAAAGAAAAAAAGATCACCCCCCCAAAATATTTTTTCACTTGCCTCTCGTGGGTCGTTTTCAAAGGCGAAAAAAAAAAGGTTTTTGTATTTTTTGAAAGTTTTATAAATTATATATATATTATACTTATATATTATGTAGACAATAAAAAACAGTAATGGTAGAGAAACATGTTCTTGTCACCCAAGACCTTAACGCACGATTGCTTTACTCATGAACACAGTGAGACCAACCATATGAATGTGATTAATTTACCACTAACTCTCCTTCAGGCTGAGCGGCTGTAATCTGTCAGAGAAAAGCTGTGAAGCTCTGGCCTCAGTCCTCAGCTCCCAGTCCTCTAGACTGAGAGAACTGGACCTGAGTAACAACGACCTGCAGGATTCAGGAGTGAAGCTACTGTCTGGTCTGAAGAGTCCAGACTGTGCACTGGAGACTCTCAGGTCAGATCACACTATGACATTGTGTTTCCCTATTGATGAAACAAACATGGGCTCTGCTGAGAAACTGTATAAAAGAGGGATATTCCTCTGGTTTCTACTGAACCGATATCTGGGACGATGAAGTAAAACAAGAAGGAAAATATGTGTTGTTTAATTTTATCAGGTTGAATGAAACTGGGCTCACAGAGGATTGCTGTGAGCATATCTCATCAGTTCTCAGATCCCAGTCCTCTAGACTGAGAGAACTGGACCTGAGTAACAATGATCTGCGGGATTCAGGAATGAAGCTGCTCTCTGCTGGACTGGAGAGTCCACACTGTACACTGGAGACTCTCAGGTCAGATCACAGTGTCCTACTTTTGTGCAACACTGGGTTGTACCCCAAACATTAAATACTCTATATTGCAGTTGCAGTGTGTTGAGCTCTCATGGTCAATGTAGCTCACTTACACTAAACATATCTGGGATGTTGAAGTAAAACAAAAAGGAAAATGTGTTTTTTTCTTTTCATATCAGGTTGAATCAAACTAGGCTCACAATGGAATGCTGTGAGCAGATCTCATCAGTTCTCAGCTCCCAGTCCTCTAGACTAAGAGAACTGGACCTGAATAACAATGATCTGCGGGATTCAGGAGTGAAGCTGCTCTCTGCTGGACTGGAGAGTCCACACTGTACACTGGAGACTCTATGGTCAGATCACACTCTGATGCTTTTCTGTTATACTGCATTGTACCTAAAACATTTAATCTCTATTGTCTTTTAAGTCTTTTGATATTTTTAGGTCTGCTTAAATGTTGACCACAGTTAGATTAGTGTATGTATATATTCTGAATGAAAAATAACATTGAATCTTGATGAAAATGTTTTTATTTTTATTCATTATTATCAGGTTAAATCAAAACGGACTCACAGAGAAATGCTGTGAGGACTTTGCATCAGTTCTAAGCTCCCAGTCATCTAGTCTGAGAGCGCTTGACCTGAGTCACAACAACCTGCAGGACTCAGGAGTGGCGCTGCTCTCTGCTGGACTGGAGAGTCCACATTGTGCAATAGAGACTCTCAGGTCAGATCACACTGTAATGCTATGTGATAGTCGTAGCTTAAACTAGTTAGCTAAAATATACAAACACCAGTCATTACTGCAGGTGACAAAATTAACACCGTATTGTGTTTCAAACATGAAATGTTTTATGGTCTATTTTTGTTTTGCATACCACATAGATAAACCTATAGCTGAAACAAAACTTTTTTTATTATTATTTTTTTTATTATTGTCTTATTACACAGGACTATTTCTTTAGTTTCAATAATCTGCCTAATCTTGGCCATGATCATATCATAAAATGTTAGCAATTTAAATTATAGAAACTATCAACAAATTAAGTTGTTAAATATACTGAACCATGTCCTATTGTTCTGAGACAATACATTTTTCGTTATTCATTTATTTCAGGTTGAATCAAACCATGCTCACAGAGAAATGCTGTCAGAATTTAGCACCAGTTCTCAGCTCCCAGTCCTCTAGTCTGAAAGAGCTGGACCTGAGTAACAACAATCTGCAGGACTCAGGAGTGAAGCTGCTCTCTGCTGGACTGGAGAGTCCACAGTGCACACTGGAGACTCTCAGGTCAGGATTCAACTTCCTTTTTTTAATCGATGACCAATTATTCTAATGAAATAATTCACACTTACAAAGAGTATGTGTGTGTCTCCAGGTTGTCAGGCTGTCTTGTCACAGAGGCAGGTTGTTCTTCTCTGGCCTCAGCTTTAAGATCCAATCCCTCCCATATGATAGAGCTGGACCTGAGCTACAATCATCCAGGAGACTCAGGAGTGAAGCAGCTGTCTGCTGGACTGAAGGATCCACAATGTAGACTGGAGACTCTCAGGTATGAACAGACTAAAATGCCTCCTTGGTGTTTAATGTTTATTTAACAGAGTGAAATTTATGAAGAGTAACTAGAAGCGTGGTGAATGGCAACTGCAAAATATAACATCGTAGATCTACATTTAGACAATCAGCTTTTTCCATGAAGGACTGTGAACACATCCCCAACTGAAATCACTTTAACTCCAGATATAAATTCAATTCATTCAATTGTCTGACTATTTGTAGCTTTTTGTCTCTTTTCAGACTGAACATCTGTATATCTTCAGCTACTTGTAGGATATTATCAATTTGTGTAGTTTTTGTAATTGATTGTTTTAATTATATTATGCATGTAAAAACCCGAAAAAAATGAACAAATTATTGATGAGGAAGTTTTTGAAGGTTCAGATTTTGTTTCCTCTTCCAGGTTGGAGCATGGTGGAGAGCAGAGGCTGAAACCTGGTCTGAGGAAGTGTAAGTGTGTCCTCACTTAGATTCATAAAAACAAAGCAGCGCATGTTAAAGATGTTTAAATACAAAGCTTGTGCATCTGCAGTCAAATCTCAGTTTGAGAGAAGATCCATCAGTTGTTTTAATGATAAACTGCTGCTGTGTTGTGTCTTGTTCTCTCCATCAGACGCCTGTGAACTCACACTGGACACAAACACAGTGAACACAAACCTCAAACTGTCTGACAACAACCGGACGGTGTCGATCGTGTCAAAGGAGCAGCCGTACCCTGATCATCCGGACAGGTTTGACCTGTGGCCTCAGCTGCTGTGTAGAGATGCTCTGACTGGACGCTGCTACTGGGAGGTCGAGTTGAATCGAAGAGTTTATTTATCAGTGACCTACAGAGGAATCAGAAGGAAAGGAGACGGTGATGACTGTGCGTTTGGACAAAACAATCAGTCCTGGAGTCTGATCTACACTGATGCCGACGGTTACTGTGCCAGTCACAACAAAAGAGCAGTTCGCAATTCCTCCTTATCTGGCATCTTCTCCCCCCTCAAAAGAACAGACCTCCCTCCTTCCTCCTCCTCCTCCTCCGTCTCTAACCGAGTAGCAGTGTATGTGGACTGTCCTGCTGGCACTCTGTCCTTCTACAGAGTCTTCTCTGATGCACTGATCCACATCCACACCTTCAACACCACCTTCACTGAACCTCTTTACCCTGGGTTCAGGTTTACACTGCATTGTTCTTCAGTGTCCCTGTGTTCACTGTAGGAAAGAAAACACTCACACTGCTGACAAAACACACACGAACGCTTTTCGTAAGTCATAATATAGTTGCTCATAATTACAAGGAAATGTGTCAGTCTGTTCTCACAGGACAAAGAAAAAGCAGCAACATGCCCTCTGAGGTGGCCCCACAGCAGAGCTAACATGATGCCCTTTAAATGAAGAAGATTTAGGTCGTTCTCCCACCTGCACTTTTTAGTCCAGTTAAACCGAACCCTGGTTGGTTTTCCCCCTCGGTACGATTTGTTTGTTCAGGTGTGAAAACAATAATCGCTCTCAGGTGAGGACCAACACAATCGCACCAAGACCCTTTCAAGGAGGTGGGCTTGGTCCGGTCCCAGATGAACTCTGGAGCAGTTTATTTTTGGTGTGAAAGAGCTCTGAACTGGATCTGACTCCACCAGCAGGTGAACCCACAAGTTTCATATTGATGGTTCCTGTAACCTTCTTCCTGTGTTTATTCCTGCTCCAGACAATCTGACAATCTGATGAAGGAACGTGTTCATCTGGTCTGTAATGATGCATTTTGGTTCCCTTGAATTTTTCTCTGTGTGAAAATAAACCGAATCTACAAGTTTACACTCATCACTGAATCGGAGCAGAGCAAACGGACTTTAGGAAAATTGCCATTTTAGATGCCGTTAAGTCCAACACACTATTTAAAAAATGTTGCACACTTGGAAACAGAATGGACTTCCAGGTGTGCATGAGTTTAAAATAATTCATTTAGTTAATTTCTTTCTGGAAATACAGAAACACAAGCACATCATCATAACATGGCTGCACACTGCAGGCTGTCTGGGTCTCAACCAAACGACCACCCTAAGATGCCCAGAATGCCTGTGTGAGTTTGAATCATTGTAAACATAAATTAACCTACTAATATATTACATTTGCTGTTGCACATAAAAATATATCAGGTGAACATTAATCAGATTTTGAATGAACATAATAATAACCCAAAACAATGAAAAACTAGACTCACCTCCTCGTGGTTGTCTGCCTCCTCCACTCAGACTAGCTCCAGATTACATCCCTGTTTATCTAGAGTCATATTAATATGAACTATTTGTGGGAAATTGTGTATAGTTGCTGTGTGAAGTCTTGAGTAATGGCTAAAAAGTGTTTTGTGAGGTCACCGTGATGTTGACCTTTGACCTTTAGCCACCAAACTCTAATCAGTTCATCCTTGAGTCTTGTGCCAAATTTAAAGAAGTTCTGTCAAGGTGTTACTGTTCCTTTTTTTTTTTTTTTTGTAAATCGAATGTTTAATTTTGTAAACATGGAACAGTAACAATGACAACCTCAGATGTTGTACAGATCGAGTAACAGACATTTTAAAGAATATAACATACCTCCTCAAGGGTTATTTAAGTAAATACAGTAGACTTTAATTACATAAACATCAATTACTCATTTCTATAGGAAAACCATATTCTGTTTGGATACAATAATAATAATGATAATAATAATGATAGTAAAGAAAATACATACAAGCAATACCACAACATTCTCAGTTAACAAATTATACAAATTATAAAGAGTATAAAAACTAAAATAAATAATATTTAGAGATAAGTTTATAAAGTTTTCTCTGGCCTGGACATTATTGACCTTTTTATTCATTTCTTCAAAATAAAGAAAACTTCGTTCCACGAGCCTGGAAGGCAAAATCCCGGGCAAAAATCCGCTTGAGTCACGTGATCTGTATAGGCCCCCTACATTGTTGCCTGACTACAAAACATGTTTTAAAATCACCACCGCAGTTTAAGTTTCGTTTTAAACCTGTCATTGAATATTTTATGTGGAATAAACTATGTTAAATCATAATAAAGACATTTTATGATTTATAAAGACTATTTTAAAGACTGCTATCTCACTTCGGCCTGAGCGCTGCAGGTGAACCGGTTCAGGCAGCTCGTCGCTCGCCTTCAACCCGGACCTGGACAGTATGGTCGGCGCAGGAGAGGCAGCTGGTCTGTGAAGGTGAGCGGTTCTAGTTACATCACCACAGGTCTGTTCAACTCGGTTTGTTTGTGTTTTTTTAATGTGGGTAAAGTTTTAAGTTTCTGTCGCTCAGCGTCGTGAAACAGACAGTTAACGAGTCTCACCGGGCGGCTAACGGTCAGCTAGCAGCGCGTCACAGCTAGCTATGTTAGCAGCTTAGATAAGAGTCTGCTGCTGTTATTAAACATGATACAACTGTCACATCGACCAGAAAGTAATAAGCAGATTAATCGATAATGAAGATAATCTTTAGCTGCTGCCCTAATATACAAGTATGAACAAGTGTGTCTCAGATAAGTATCTTCACAAGGGCCGCAACTAACGATTATTCTCACCATCAACTAATGTTTATGTTGTTGTCAGGTAAAAAATCTTTATTCAATCATCGTTTGGTTTATATAATGTCAGAAAATCATTTCTCACAGTCACAAATCGCTAAACTTCTCTGTCGCATCTTAAAATGTTTTGCTTGTTTTGGAAACTGAAATATTAATTTAACTATAAAAGATGTTTTTTAACTGTCACTTTAGATAAAGAAAAGCACATTCTCTCACTTTTTTTGCTTGGGAAAAAAAAACTTGAAATGATGAATTGATTATCAAAATATTTGCATTGTCATTAATTAATTAACTTATTCTATCTAGTTATTCATTTGTCTACCCTTTTTCTCAGTCTTAAAATAAACAGGTTTGTTATATAAAAAAAATCTCTAGTCTTTTATTTAAAAAAAGAAGTAAAGTTTATAATTGTGGTGAACAGTAGTCGACATATTACACAACACTGAGGTCAGCTTCTGATTGAGGAGATAAGTTTAGAGAAACTTGACTTACAACACTGAGCGACTGGTTGTCAGTCTTTTGTTGTGAAAGCGTTTTTAGACATTTCAGTAAAAGCTTTAACGCTGTTTGAAACCCACCTTTTATTTTTGTAAATAGATCGATTTCACGGCTTTTTTCACCTCTAGACCACGTCAGACCAGATCGAGATCAAAAACCACTTCGCACTATATTTTAGAAATCTTCAGTCAAATTAAGGATTAATTTCCTCTTTTTTTTCTGTTGTTCAGTTGATTTTTGTCAGTAAAACTGCTTATAGAAATGTATCCATGTCTAAATCCCTCCTTTGTTGATTTATTTCCTCTGTTTCTTTTCTAAATGCAAAACCCGACTTCCAGCTCCTCTCTGTAAAACTCCAGTGGAGAAGAACCTGTTATATATAAGTAATTCTGGGCTGTACAGAGGGCTGGTGCTGAAGAAGGTTGAAGGGGTTAAAGTTATGTAAAGTTGACATATATATGTTTATTCATTACAAATTGTATATTTTAACAATTCAGTGTTACAGTGGCACACCTGTTATACTACACTATACAAATATGCATTCTGTGCATTTGTTAAAAAGCCAATGAAAAGGTCTTTGAGGAGAAAAAAACACTTAATGACAAATAATTCTGTGACCACAATGAAATGATTTTGACCCCTGGATATTCCAAGATAAAAATAAAGAGAAAGTTAATCACAACATATCATCCCCGTGGTAATGAGAAGATTAAAGCAGAGGAGCTGTCCTGGACATCGACTCTGAATCTAAATCATTTTAGTCAGCTGTTCCTTGGACAGAGGAATCATGTTATTCTGCATCAAGGCAGAACTGACCCTCATCTGTGTTTGTGTTTCTCAGCTCAGTGCCGTTCAGTCATGGGCCTGAGGCAGTTCTGGCAGAACAACAAAGTCTTGATTGTGATGGGCACAACTCTGGGTCTGGTGCACTGGGGCTGGTACAACCTGCAGTCGAGTTCTCTGCTGCACCAAGCGAAGGAGGAGTACATCCCTGAGCCCGGCATCGTCACCTACGTTTTAAACTCTAAAGCCACTTCTGCAGATTCTCCTGCCGCCGCTCCTGCCGCCGCCAAGAGCAAGTGAACCGGCCGGACTCAGGTATGAGCCCAGCGTCCTACTGTTGAAGTCAGAGCTGCAGTTCCTCTAACGGCCACGAGGTGCCGCTGTAAGGACACTCACCCACAACAAGTTCATCTCTCAGGACATCATTTTACTTCACAGAATACATACAGTACATCTTATGGGGATTTTTGATCAGATTTATTCACAAAAAATAACAAAAAAAAAACTAAAAATAAAATAAAATCTGGCCACTGAAAATACAGAGAACTAATAAAAACATGAAGCATAAAATGAAAATAATAAAATGAAGATAAAAAGGAGGAAATAAACACTGACATTTTCATTATTTTCTGGTCTTTTATTGACTAAATTACTAATAATTATTTAATGATAATGAAAATAATTAAGTTTTTGATTGATCGATGCCAGTCCTGTATTTAAAAACATGGCCCAGCTGTACAGTGGGTAATCTTGTGTACTGTGTGCTGTATAAATAAAGTTTTTTGTGTCTTCCTCCACGCAGAGCGTCATGAAGCCTCAGAGCTGGCTCCGCAGGAACTGGCTGTGGGCGGCGGGCGGCGCCTTCCTCACCATCCACATGTCCACCTGGCTGATGCAGAGAGCCATGAAGAGCGCCGTCCGCTCGGAGGTGGCGCTCAGACAGAAAGCTGATGATGAAAGACTGGACTGACGTTCACTCAGGAGGACTGTGACCAACGCAACCACTGACTATCATTCACAGATCAATGATCCACTGTTCATTCATCATTCATCATTCTGATGTACAATATTAAATTATTATTCACATGACCGCAGGTGAAAGGGCCATGTGTTTTGTGTTTTCTCTTCTGTCAGATTTAATGTTTGGTGGATGATTGAGTTGTGATTTACAGGAAATACATCAATCAATAAACCGATAAAACAATCAACAGTATCAGTCAATTGACCCAGAGAAGTAATTAAAGCTGATATCACAGTTCTAACATGAACATTTTAAATTGGTTCCAGTTTATGATGCAGCAGTTCCCAACCTCCTTGTGTCTGTAATCACTGGAATCAGCTGATGAATCGTCCACAATAACAATTTTATTTTAAGTTTCTAAACCCCTTAAATTCCCAGATGAAAGCACATGATATATTGTACTGTCTGAAAGGCATTCTGGGAAATTGTTATAGAGTAAAAGTAAATCTTGATCATTTCTAAAAACTACTAGAAAACCTTGTGTTTCTATGTTGTCACTCAATGTGTCTGGTTCTTATTGGCAGCTTTAAACAACAGTGGAAGAAGAGGTCAGAGGTCAATGTGTGGAAAATCCTTAAGTCACCTTTTGAACTTTTTGAAGGAGGTCTTACTCCCTTTAAATGCCACTTCTTTCTCCTCGCTGTGAGTTCAGGGTGAGAAAATGAAGTCCGTTATCAGACGTCATCATCGTGGTCGTCTGAGTCCTCGGGGAGCTGCTGACGGACTCGGCTCGGCTCAAACAGCTGGGCTGTAACTCATGAGAGAGTCGGAGGGGCGAGAGAGGAATGGAAAACATTTTCCCTCTCTGAATACTCAGAAATCCGACCGTGAAATTCAGCTTGTAACTTTGTTTTCT